CACTATGATAAAACAACAACAACAACATATTTCTTAATAATGTCAAAGAAACAAATGTGTGATGTTAGTGTCATAACACAGTCCTGTTCTTTTTTCTATGATCATTACTAGACTCACAAGCGGCTCCAATGAGCAGAACAAAGACCAGAGAAATCATGGTTGCTGTATGATCCTGTCGATGAAAGGGGTTAATCTGCACCCCTGGTTTATATACAGAATTGGGTGTGCCGCCTCATTTAATGGAACTGTTTGATTGGTCAAGGGAAAGCCAATCAGAGCCAAAAGGTGCACTGCCAAGGTCAGCATTATGACACAGCATTTTCCATCATGGAGTGGAATGAAGTTTACCCTAAAGTCAGCATAAAGCAAAATATATATATGTTTTCATTAGTCACAGTACTTTTTAAGTGCAGGTTCTTGCCGTCTGGATTTGATTGAATTTCTACCAGAAGAAAGTGATACATGTACAGTACGCTACAACTGACAGTTTGATATCGAAGGTATTCTCTGCAGTTCAGACTGTATCTTGACCTCAACAGGACTGCAACACAGCTGTGTGGTTCACACGTTGGTATTATCTTGGAGAAGTCGACAAACACAGCTTTTCCGCCAATTTGAGCTTTGTAAACAAGCAAACTGGGTTTAAGGGGTTTTGTTGGAAAGTCATACAAGGCTGTCGTCAAAATAGACTCTGTATACATTATGTGGCCATGAGTTCATTACATAAGTTATACTGTATGCAGTTAATATACAGTAAAACACTCAAAGTAAGCACACACTTGGGTAGTGCAATTTATTATATTAGGTATTAACACAATATTCAAATAAACAGTTGTACCTTGACAGTAGTGGATGCTGCTGAGGGGAGGAAGGCTCATAATAATGGCTGGAACGGCACAAATGGAAACCATGTGTTTGATGTATTTGATACCATTCCACTAATTCCGCTCCAGCCATTACCACGAGCCCATCCTATCCAATCAAGGTGCCACCAACCTCCTGTGGTTGACAGTAGATTAAAGTCTACACCCCGGCTCAACCCTTACCCATAACTCTAACCCTAACCTTAACCCTAACCCTAGCTTCATGTCCACATCCTGGCTCAACCCTAACCCTAACTTTATGTCCACATCCCTGCTCAACCCGAACCCTAACCCTAGCCTCAACCCTAACCCTAGCATCATGTCCACATCCTGGCTCAACCCTAACCTAACTTTATGTCCACAACCTGACTCAACCTAAATCCTAACCCTCAACCTTAACTTCATGTCCAGAACCCAGCTCAACCCTAACCTTAGCCTAATGTAAATACAATGTAAAAATTAGTAAATACAATACTTGTTCATTCTAAAGTAATAACTCAGTAATACCAAGCCTTTAATCAGAGGTATGTGTTCTATGGGGATGTACCCAAGGCTCTCTTAATTATGAGGCTGTCTGTGGTGATAATGACAGCATCTTCACAGCTCCTTTCTCAGGTATGTTGCCATAACGATGAAACCAAAATTAGCAATTCTAAACATCAGTAATGGGGAAAGAACAGTAGGGGAGAATGTGAAGTGAAACTCTCAATCCGCTCTTTTTTATTAATAAAAAATGAGTCAACTTAAATCTACCAATTTACCCAACTCAAAATAATAATTGTATCCTACTCAAAATAATAATAAGTAATACATGCATCTAATTTAAAATAATACCTTTCTTTACCGAAAAAGTATTGTTGAGTGAAGATCAAAATCAATCAAATCAAATTTTATTTGCCACATGCGCCGAATACAACAGGTGTAGACATTACAGTGAAATGCTTACTTACAGCCCTTAACCAACAATGCATGTATTTCTTAATAAAAAGTAAAATAAAACAACAACAACAAAAAACTGTTGAGAAAAAAAGAGCAGAAGTAAAATAAAATAACAGTAGGTAGGCTATATACAGGGGGGTACCGGTGCAGAATAAATGTGTGGGGGCACCGGCTAGTTGAAGTAATATGTACATGTGGGTAGAGTTAAAGTGACTATGCATAAATAATTAACAGAGTAGCAGCAGCGTAAAAAGATGGGGTGGAGGTGCAAATAGTCCGGTTAGCCATGATTAGCTGTTCAGGAGTCTTATGGCTTGGGGGTAGAAGCTGTTGAGAAGTCTTTTGGACCTAGACTTGGCACTCCAGTACCGTTTGCCGTGCGGTAGCAGAGAGAACAGTCTATGACTAGGGTGGCTGGAGTCTTTGACAATTTTGAGTACCTTCCTCTGACACCGCCTGGTATAGAGGTCCTGGATGGCAGGAAGCTTGGCCCCAGTGATGTACTGGGCCGTACGCACTACCCTCTGTAGTGCCTTGCGGTCGGAGGCCGAGCAGTTGCCATACCAGGCGGTGATGCAACCAGTCAGGATGCTCTCGATGGTGCAGCTGTATAACTTTTTGAGGATCTGAGGACCCAACGCAAAAAGTTTACCCAACTCAAAAATTGGGTAAAGTTTACCCAACTCAAAAATAATAAATGTAACCAACTCAGAATAATACGTCTACCCAAATTAAATCAATCAATCAGTGTACCCAACTCAATGTAAACATTTAACTTACTCATTATAATACACTACATGACCAAAAGTATGTGGACATATCAAAATCATGGGCATTCATAGTTTGTCCCCCCTTTGCTGCTATAAAAGCATCCACTCTTCTGTGAAGGCTTTCCACTAGATGTTGGAACATTGCTGCGGGGACTTGCTTCCATTCAGCCACAATTAGTGAGGTCGGGCACTGATGTTGGGCGATTAGGCCTGGCTCGCAGTCATCGTTCCAATTCATCCCAAAGGTGTTTGATGTGGTTGAGGTCAGGGCTCTTTGCAGGCCAGTCAAGTCATGCTGAAACAGGAAAGGGCCTTCCCCAAACGGTTGCCACAAAGTTGGAAGCACAGAATCGTCTAGAATGTCATTGTATGCTGTAGTGTTAAGATTACCCTTCACTGGAACTAAGGGGCCTAGCACGAACCATGAAAAACAGCCCTAGACCATTATTCCTCCTCCACCAAACTTTACAGTTGGCACTATGCACTGGGGCAGGTAGCGTTCTCCTGGCATCCACCAAACCCAGATTCGTCCGTCGGACTGCCAGATGGTGAAGCGTGATTCATCACTCCAGAGAACGTGTTTCCACTGCTCCCGAGTCCAATGGTGGCGAGCTTTTCACCACTCCAGCCGACGCTTGGCATTGCGCATGGTGAGCTTAGGCTTGTGTGCGGCTGCTCGGCCATGGAAACCAATTTCATAAAGCTCCCGACGAACAATTCTTGTGCTGACGTTGCTTCCAGAGGCAGTTTGGAACTCGGTAGTGAGTGTTGCAACCTAGGACAGATGATTTTTACGCGTTACGCACTTCAGCGGTCCCGTTCTGTGAGCTTGTGTGGCCTACAACTTCACGGCTGAGACGTTGTTGCTCCTAGATGTTTACATTTCACAATAACAGCACTTACAGTTGACCGGGGCAGCTCTAGCAGGGCAGAAGTTTGACGAACTGACTTGTTGGAAAGGTGGCATCCTATGACAGTCCCACGTTGCAAGTCACTGAGCTCTTCAGTAAGGCCATTCTACTGCCAATGTTTGTCTATGGAGATTGCATGGCTGTGTGCAAGATTTTATACACCTGTCAGCAATGGGTGTGGCTGAAATAGACAAATCCACTAATTTGAAGGGGTGTCCACATACACTATATATACAAAAGTATTTTTGCCAAGTCAAATTAATCAATCCGTTTAGCCAAGTCAAAATAACAACTTTATCCATTTCAAAATAAATTATCCAACACAAAATATCACCTTTTTTTGGGGGGGCCCCCCCGTGGGAATCGAACCCACAACCCTGGCGTTGCAAACGCCATGCTCTACCAACTGAGCTACATCCCTGGCTCAATGCACATTTTGGTTCAACCGTAACTCTAGCCTCAACACTAACGCTAATCCTAACACTAACCATAACCCCAGCTATATGTTCAACCCGGTGTTGCGTTAAGTATGACAGAATGTGTGTAACGTTGAATTAAATGGAAATGGTACTGTGCTGAACGACGAGTTGAAATACGTTTTGATTATGGTGGCCCAGAGGTGTGCTGCACAAGTTTTGCGATTACAAATGGTCACACCCATAATGATCAGGCCACACCTCACCACACCCACCAAACGGGAGCAAACGTGCCTCAAAGGCTGTTGAAGAACAGTACGCACCTGTTTGGGGAAACGTATTATTCAGTCACTCAACGTAGCAAACGTTGAAGCGAACTGAACACACCCCTGGCTCACTTCTAACCCTAGGACTTGGTCAGATTCATCATTTTGTATATACTATATGTACCATGTACCAGTAGCCAAACTGATTTTGGCTCATTACCACATAACACTATGTGTTCAATAGCATACTGTAGCAGCAATATAAAACTGCTGTATACAGAAGACTCACCTAATATAGAGTACATTTTGATTGAATAGAGCAATGGAGAAAATACATAGCAGTTGTAACACTTGTGACAAATCAGTTCTCTCTGAAATGAACGCAACCATAACTCCATAGAATACATAACTAATGTTTATAATATGAAGTTTCCAATACAAGAATTCCTCCTAACAGTTTACAATGTTAAAGGGATAGTTCACCCAAATTACAAATGAACCTTATATGAATGATTGCTATAGAGAGTGGTCGACAATGCACATATCTTTGAATCACAGCCCCTGTTTTGAAGATATATGTGTTTGTGTACAACAAACGTATGTGTTGCGTTCTGATGGGGTATGACAGTTTGAGGCATTTATAAGTTATTCTCTTCAAGAATCAATGGTCATATCGTTAATTTAAATGTCAAAAAATGGATGTACCAATAACAGACTGTAGCTTTCAGCTGTTGTAATTACAGCATTTATTAACTGTCACAAATGTAGACATTCCACTTCAATCAACACTCCCTTGATGCCAAACAGAACCTAGTATTTCACTATATTCATGAATATGTACTCTATGCTGCAGGCATGTAAGTAGAACCTTCAACAGTACATACATTTTGGGATTTAACCTATTTATTTGATCTTGTAACATATTTTACTATCAGTAATTACTCTCCAAACTTTAAAAGCAATGGGTACTAACCAGCAGTAGGAGAACAATTTCTGATAAGCGAGCATCAGCATTCATATTGTTGTAATATTACTGAATTTGCATTTAGTAGTATTCAGAAATTCGGCATTCAGAAGGCCTGTTGTCCCAAACATTCACTTTTAAAAGTATACACACTTTTAAAATCTATTTCCGAGATTTCTGCGCCAAATTGTTCTCTGACTTGTATTTTAAAAGTGTGTATATAAAGACATTAATACAGTAAATGTACAGGATTTTAATCCAAATAAAACACTTGAATCTACTGTAAAAGGTATACAGTTCATTTCATTGTTGTGTTAATACAGAAAATAATAAATTACGCTACTCAAGTGTGTGCTTACTTTGAGTGTTTGACATTAACTGCATATGGGAGAGTGGGGTAAGTTGAGCAATTTTTTTACATTCAGCAGTACTCTGTCAAGGGAAATATAGTATTCTTTCAAAAAATATATCTACATATATTTTAGGAAGTTGTGTATCCCTGGAAATAATCAGAATGAATATAAACATTACAGTTTTGAAAACATAGGCCCTGTTGTTACCTCATATCCCAGTGATAATTTCTTGCATTATGCATGCTCAACTTGCCATTGGCTCAATTTACCCCATGGCCATTTGCTCAACTTACCCTAAGGCAAACATTTTGACTATATTAGCCCACACAGCTACAAGGATGCACTTTCGTGCTAAGTTTAGGACCTCATATTGAAGCTTATAGAGACCCCAACTGATGTATAGAACAATCTTAAAATGATCTACCATACTTTGGTTTAGATACAAGCGTCATGAAACCTCTAACACAATAAATTAATTTGACTTGGTGAAAATCTGCTTTTTGGAACCAACTTGCTTACCACTTTTTTAATTTGGTTTCTTCCTTCACAGACTCCATGAAATGATGGCCTCTTCCTAAATATTATAGAAACAAGGGTGGTTCAATTTACCCCTTTATCCCAACTTACAGAATAATGATTTAAGGAAAAACCTGTTTTCAACTTACGTAATGAACTCATGGCCGCATTTACAGAGTCTATTTATACGGAAGCCTTGTATGACTTTCCAATAAAACCCCTTTCACCCAATTTGCTCAGCCAAACGCACCATTGGGTGCACACTGCCTGCCATCCAGGACACCTACAACACCAGGTGTCTCAGGAAGGTCAAGAAGATCATCAGGGACCTCAGCCACCCGAGCCACGGCCTGTTTTCCCTGCTTCCATCACTTAGACATGGGCAGTACACAGTGGAGACTCCTCAGAGGAGGAAGGGTAGGACTATCCTCCTAAGTTAATTTCATAAAAATATAAATAGTGAAACTGTCACAGCGACGTGTATGCGGTAGGCGAAGTCAAGAGCAGGACACCGAGCTACTGGCAGAAACTTTACTGGATGCAGTGCAAAATACAAGTACACAGGCAACCTCAAACAGCGAGGAAATAATAAGACCCGCACACATAGGCAACTGCCGCAAAGACCAAAACAATTACACACACTACACAATGAGAAACAGAGGGTTATAAAGGGAACATAATAAAACATAATGGGAAACAGGTGTAAACAATAAAGACCAAACAAGACAAACACCGAAACATCGATCGGCAGCAGCTAGTACTCCGGGGACGACGAACGCCGAAGCCTGCCCGAGCAAGGAGGAGGAGCAGCCTCGGCTGAATCCGTGACAGTCCCCCCCCCCCCCCCCCCCTTGATGCGCAGCTCCAGCCGTGCGCCGACCCGGCCTCGGGGACGGCCAGGAGGACGCGGAGGGAACCAGCACTGTTCCTCCGGACCGTACCCCTCCCACTCCACGAGATACTGCAGGCCCCCCATCCGACGCCTCGAATCCAAGATGGAACGGACTGAGTACGCCGGAGCCCCCTCGATGTCCAGCGGGGGCAGAGGAGCCTCTCGTACCTCACTCTCCTGGAGTGGACCAGCTACTACCGGCCTGAGGAGAGACACATGGAACAAGGGGTTAATGCGGTAATTAATGGGCAGTTGTAACCTATAACATACCTCGTTCAATCTCCTCAGGACTTTAAATGGCCCCACAAACCGCCGACCCAGCTTCCGGCAGGGCAGGCGAAGGGGCAGGTTTCGGGTCGAGAGCCAGACCCGATCTCCCGGTGCATACACCGGAGCCTCACTGCGGTGGCGATCGGCGCTCGCCTTTTGCCGCCTGATCGCTCGCTGTAGATGGACATGCGCAGCGTTCCAGGTTTCCTCCGAGCGCCGAAACCACTCGTCCACCGCAGGGGCTTTGATCTGGTTCTGATGCCAAGGTGCCAGGACGGGCTGATAACCTAGCACACACTGAAAAGGCGTAAGGTTAGTTGAGGAGTGGCAAAGTGAGTTTTGGAAAATTTCTGCCCAGGGGATATATTCCGACCACTCCCCCTGCCAGTCCTGGCAATAGGACCTCAGAAACATACCCACATCCTGGTTCACTCTCTCCACCTGCCCATTACTCTCGGGGTGAAACCCTGAGGTAAGGCTAATCGAGACCCCCGGACGTTCCATAAACGCCCTCCAGACTCTAGAGGTGAACTGGGGACCCCAATCAGACACTATATCCTCAGGTACCCCGTAGTGCCGGAAGACGTGTGTAAACAGGGCGTCAGCAGTTTGTAGGGCTGTAGGGAGACCTGGCATAGGAATGAGACGGCAGGCCTTTGAAAACCGATCCACAACGACCAAGATCGTCGTATTTCCCTGGGAGGGGGGAAGGTCCGTGACGAAATCCACCGAGAGGTGAGACCACGGTCGTTGTGGAACGGGTAGGGGTTGTAATTTCCCTCTGGGTAGGTGTCTAGGCACCTTACACTGAGCGCACACCGAGCAGGAGGAAACATAAACCCTCACGTCCTTAGCCAAAGTGGGCCACCAGTACTTTCCACTAAGGCAGTGCACTGTCCGTCCAATACCAGGATGGCCAGAGGAAGGTGACATGTGAGCCCAATATATTAATCGATCACGAACCTCGAGCGGCACGTACTTCCGACCCTCTGGACACTGTGGGGGAGTAGGATCGGTACGTAACGCCCGCTCGATGTCCGCATCAACCTCCCATACCACCGGTGCCACCAGACAAGACTCCGGAAGTATGGGAGTAGGCTAAATGGACCTCTCCTCTGTGTCATATAGTCGGGACAGGGCGTCTGCCTTAGCGTTCTGTGACCCTGGTCTATAGGTGAGCGTAAATACAAATCGGGTGAAAAACATAGCCCACCTAGCCTGGTGAGGGTTCAGCCTCCTCGCCGCCCGGATGTACTCCAGGTTACGATGGTCAGTCAAAATGAGAAAAGGGTGTTTAGCCCCCTCAAGCCAATGCCTCCACACCTTCAGGGCTTGCACCACAGCTAACAGCTCCCTGTCCCCCACATCATAATTGCGCTCCGCCGGACTGAGCTTCTTAGAAAAGAAAGCACATGGGCGGAGTTTAGGTGGCGTACCCGAGCGCTGAGACAGTACAGCACCGATCCCAGCCTCGGACGCATCCACCTCAACTTGGAACGCCAAAGAGGGATCCGGATGTGCCAGCACCGGAGCCGAGGTAAACAGGTCCTTCAGATGCCTAAAAGCCCTGTCCGCCTCAGCCGACCACTGCAGACGCACCGGACCCCCTTTAGCAGGGAGGTAATGGGAGCTGCTACCTGCCCAAAGCCCCGGATAAACCTCCGGTAGTAATTGGCAAAACCCAAGAACCGCTGCACCTCCTTCACCGTGGAGGGAGTCGGCCAATTGCGCATGGCTGAAACACGGTCAATCTCCATCTCCACCCCTGACGCGGACAACCGGGGTCCCAGGAAGGAGATGGACTCCTGGAAGAACATACATTTCTCTGCCTTTGCATACAGGTCATGCTCCAACAGTCTACCAAGCACCCGACGAACCAGGGACACATGCTCTGCGCGAGTAGCGGAGTATATTAGAATGTCATCGATATACACCACTACACCCTGTCCATGTAAGTCCTGGAAAATCTCATCCACAAACGATTGGAAGACTGAAGGAGCATTCATTAACCCATATGGCATGACGAGGTACTCATAGTGACCCGAGGTGGTACTGAATGCTGTCTTCCACTCATCTCCCTCCCTAATGCGCACCAGGTTGTACGCGCTCCTGAGATCCAATTTTGTGAAGAATCGCGCCCCGTGTAATGACTCCGTCATACTAGCACTCAGAGGGAGAGGATAGCTGTATTTGATGGTGATCTGATTGAGACCACGGTAGTCAATACACGGGCGTAAACCCCCATCTTTCTTTTTCACAAAAAAGAAACTTGAGGACGCAGGGGAAGTGGACGGCCGTATGTATCCCTGTCTCAGCGATTCGGCGACATATGTTTCCATAGCCGCCGTCTCCGCCTGAGACAGAGGATACACATGGCTACGTGGAAGCGCAGCGCCTACTTGGAGGTTTATCGCACAATCACCCTGTCGATGGGGTGGTAATTGAGTCGCCTTCTTTTTCCAGAAGGCGAGAGCCAAATCGGCATATTCAGGTGGAATGTGCATGGTGGGAACTTGGTTCGGACTTTACACCGTCGTGGCCCCTACGGAAACACCCACACACCTCCCGACACACTGATCAGACCATCCCTTGAGAGCCCTCTGTTGCCATGAAATGTTGGGGTCATGAGACGTCAACCAGGGAAGCCCCAACACCACGGGAAACGCAGGAGAGTCAATCAAATACAACCGAATTATCTCCTTATGGCCCTCCTGCGTTTTCATCCTGAGCGGCGCCGTGACCTCCCTAATCAACCCAGACCCCAAAGGGCGACTATCTAGGGCATGGATATGGAAGGGCACATCCACTGGAACTATAGGAATCCCTAACTTATGGGTGAAATGGCGATCGATAAAATTCCCAGCTGCGCCTGAATCGACTAGCGCTTTATGCTGGGAATGAGGAGAAACCTCGGGAAACACAACTTTAATACACATATGTGCAACAGGGAGCTCTGGGTGAGTTGGGCGCCTACTCACCTGGTATGACTCATCAGTGCGCGGCCTACTGCCTCGATTCCGAGGAGACCCTCCCCAGCACCGACCAGCAGTGTGTCCTCTGCGGCCCCAGTTGGTGCAGGGGACGGCCTCTCTCCTAGTCTCTCTCCTAGTACCAGCACCTCCGAGCTCCATCGGGGTCGGCTCGGAAGTGCTGGGGGATGGAATGGACGGCCCCGAGTCCGGACGTCCGCGGGTAGCCAACAGGGTGTCCAGGCGAATCGACATGTCCACCAGTTGATCGAATTTTAGGTTGGTGTCCCTGCAGGCCAATTCCCGACGTACGTCCTCCCTCAGGCTACATCTGTAGTGGTCGATGAGGGCCCTCTCATTCCGTCCCGCGTTGGCAGCCAGTGTCCGGAAGTCCAGTGCGAACTCCTGCGCGCTCCTCCTTCCCTGTCGAAGGTGGAATAGACGTTCACCCGCCGCCTTACCCTCTGGTGGATGATCGAATACTGACCTGAAGCGGCGGGTGAACTCTGCATAGTTGACTGTAGCGGCGTCTATTCCCCCCCACTCGGCGTTGGCCCACTCCAGCGCCTTGCCGGACAGACAGGAGATGAGGGCGGACACGCTCTCGTATCCCGAGGGCGCCGGGTGGATGGTTGCCAGGTATAGTTCCACCTGGAGCAGGAAACCCTGACACCCGGCAGCTGTGCCATCATAAGCCCTCGGGAGCGAGAGCCGAATCCCACTGGACCCCGGAGATGAAGCGATGGGCATAGCTGATGGTGGTGGTATCGTCGGAGGAGGTGTAGACCAACTTCTTCTTTCCCATCGCTCCACGGTTTTCACCACCTGTTCCATGGCGGTGCCGAGAGCCTGGATCATAGCCGCTTGTTGTTCTACGCGCTCTTCTATTGATCCAGCTGGCACCGCCGCTCCTGCTGACTCCATGTCTAAAGGTGCGTAATTCTGTCACAGCGACGTGTATGCGGTAGGCGAAGTCAAGAGCAGGACACTGAGCTACTGGCAGAAACTTTACTGGATGCAGTGCAAAATACAAAGCACACAGGCAACCTCAAACAGCGAGGAAATAATAAGACCCGCACACATAGGCAACTGCCGCAAAGACCAAAACAATTACGCACACTACACAATGAGAAACAGAGTGTTATAAAGGGAACATAATAAAACATAATGGGAAACAGGTGTAAACAATAAAGACCAAACAAGACAAACACCGAAACATCGATCGGCAGCAGCTAGTACTCCAGGGACGACAAACGCCGAAGCCTGCCCGAGCAAGGAGGAGGAGCAGCCTCGGCTGAATCTGTGACAGAAACCTTTTTTAAAAAGTTAGCCTTTTTATATAAAACTATACTAAATATATTCACATCACCAAATAATTGATTAAAACACACTGTTTTGCAATGAAGGTCTACAGTAGCCTCAACAGCACTCTGTAGGGTAGCACCATGGTGTAGCCGGAGGACGCTAGTTTCCGTCCTCCTCTGGGTACATTGACTTCAATACCAAACCTAGGAGGCTTGTGGTTCTCACCCCCTTCCATACACTTACACAGTAATTATGACAACTTCCGGAGGATGTCCTCCAACCTATCAGAGCTCTTGCAGCATGAACTGACATGTTGTCCACCCAATCAAAGGATCAGAGAATAAATCTAGTACTGAAAGCATAAGCTACAGCTAGCTAGCACTGCAGTGCATAAAATGTTGTGAGTAGTTGACTCAAAGAGAGTGAAAGACAATAGCTGAACAGTTTTGATCAAATTTATTTATTTAAAAATGAAGAAGCCAGAGAGAGAGAGTTAGCTAGTTATATTTCATTGTATTTTATTTTTCCACTTTCACTTACTTAGCTAGATCATTCAGATAGCTAGTTTAGCCTACTCAAACACCCGGCTCAAACTGAGAGGGATGCTATGTTAGCTAGATGGCTATGGCTATCCAACACTGAAACTCTTCCAAGTCAAGGTAAGCTTTTGGTTTTATTAACTGCTAAACTGCTTGCTGAATGTACACTGTACTGCATGATTGTAGTGGGTTTACTTACGCGTTAGTTATAGTAGCTATGTTGACTAGACTATGATGTTAGCTAATATGGTGACAAAGATGTAGGCTGTGTGTAGCGGTCAGTGGTTATGATATGAAGGTTTGGCTTGGAAAGGTTTTTTTGCCTGGTCACAGACAGCTGATGTGTTGTGCACTGAAGTCTACAAGTGAAGGGAAAAGGTGAGAGGAGGAGAGCGCGTAGATGCGAGAAGGAATTATACAACGATTTGTCCAATAGAAACTCTTGTTTGCAACTGTTGGACTAATGACTGCTCCCTAGATCAGCTAGATGCAGGCAAGGCGGTATTGAATGTGTCAATGTCACCTTGATTACTCAAATTTCTCTCGACCTGTGCACATACAATGTAAACTTTCATTTATAGGCTAGGTTGTAGCAACCTCATGATGGGGATAAGAAAATTAGAGTATCATGTAGTAACCTAAACCTATCGATGTTACATTGAGCTGGGTGAATGGAATATGAATGACAGTCATCCAATATGCTGTAATAGAAATAAGGCCATGCTCATTAAAAAAAGAATCGTCCTCCCTCAACTTAAACGGCACCGACCATCATAGCTAAAACTAACAGACTGGCCAATAGAGTCTACCCCCAGACCATGAGGATGTTGAATAGCCACCACTAGTCAACTACTTGGTCCCTGTTCCCCTCCTGCCCACCTGGACATCCTAACCCCCCCCCCCCCCCCCCCCAACCGACATCTACCCTGCCCCCACCCAAATTGACATGCTGCTCCCTCTATGGACATTGAATTTTTATCATTGTCACAGTTGTAAATATGTATATATAATTTGTCTTGTATCGTTTCATTCACACCTGCACTGTTGGAGCTCGGAGCTTAAGTACTTCACTGTACACTGCAATGACATCTGCGACCCTGTGCATGTGACTAAATAAAAAATCTAATCTACAAAGCTATGGTAGGCCTTGGATAGATTGTGTGTGTGAACCACACAGCTGTGTTGCAGTCATGTTGAGGTCAAGATACATTCTGAACTGCAGAGAATACTGGCCATCTCAAACTGGCAGTTGTAGCGTACTGTATATGTATCACTGTCTACTGGTAGAAATTAAGGGCTGGATTCAATCCGTATCGCAGAAGTTCACAGAAGATCCGTGTTAGAACTCGATTGAAATTTAAAGGCAATGTTTGCGGAGACTGCACTCACAGTAAACGCTGTATATGTCAGCTCAATCGGAAATTACCTTCACATACTAACGCTGATCTTCAATGATACTTCCGTGTACGGATTGAATCAAGTCTTAAATCTGTAATTAACTCAAATCCAGACGGCAAGGATTTGCATTTAAAACAATTAATAAACACTGTACTGGGACTAATAAGACACAATGTTTACCAAAACTTAATGAAAAGGTAGGCCTACATTTTGCAAGGTGATTGATAGGTTTGAGTCTCATTCACGTAGATGTTGGCCTTGGACGCTCGTCGGATGTGGCAGGGCTTGAAAACTATTACAGACTACAAAGGGAACCACAGCCGCGAGCTGCCCAGTGACACAAGACTTCCAGACAAGCTAAACCACTTCTATGCTCGCATCGAGGCAAGCAACACTGAAGCATGCATGAGAGCACCAGCTGTTCCGGATGACTATGTGATCACGCTCTCCGTAGCCAATGTGAGTAAGACTTTTAAGCAGGTCAACATTCACAAGGCCGCAGGGCCAGACGGATTACCAGGACGTGTACTCCGAGCATGTGCTGACCAACTGGCAAGTGTCTTCACTGACGTTTTCAACATGTCCCTGACTGAGTCTGTAATACCAACATGTTTCAAGCAGACCACCATAGTCCCCATGCCCAAGGACACTAAGATAACCTGCCTAAATGACTACCGACCCGTAGCACTGACGTCTGTAGCCATGAAGTGCTTTGAAAGGCTGGTCATGGCTCACATCAACACCATTATCCCAGAAACCCTAGACCCACTCCAATTTGCATACCGCCCCAACAGATCCACAGATGATGCAATCTCTATTGCACTCCACACTGCCCTTTCCCACCTGGACAAGAGGAACACCTACGTGAGAATGCTATTCATTGACTACAGCTCAGCATTCAACACCATAGTGCCCTCAAAGCTCATCACTAAGCTAAGGATCCTGGGACTAAACACCTCCCTCTGCAACTGGATCCTGGACTTCCTGACGGGCCGCCCCCAGGTGGTAAGGGTAGGTAACAACACGTCTGCCACACTGATCGTCAACACGGGGGCCCCTCAGGGGTGCATGCTCAGTCCTCTCCTGTACTCCCTGTTCACCCATGCCTGCATGGCCAGGCACGACTCCAACACCATCATTAAGTTTGCCGACGACACAACAGTGGTAGTCCTGATCACAGACAACGATGAGACATTCAATAGGTAGGAGGTCAGAGACCTGGCCGTGTGGTGCCAGGATAACAACCTCTCCCTCAACGTGACCAAGACAAAGGAGATGATTGTGGACTACAGGAAAAAAAAGAGGACTGAGCACGCCCCCATTCTCATCGACGGGGCTGTAGTGGAACAGGTTGAGAGCTTCAAGTTCCTTCGTGTCCACATCACCAACGAACTATCATGGTCCAAACACACCAAGACAGTCGTGAAGAGGGCACGACAAAGCCTATTCCCCCTCAGGAGACTGAAAAGATTTGGCATGGGTCCTCAGATCCTCAAAAAATTATACAGCTGCACCATCGAGAGCATCCTGACTGGTTGCATCACCGCCTGGTATGGCAACTGCTCGGCCTCCGACCGCAAGGCACTACAGAGGGTAGTGCGAACGGCCCAGTACATCACTGGGGCCAAGCTTCCTGCCATCCAGGACCTCTATACCAGGCGGTGTCAGAGGAAGGCCCTCAAAATTGTCAAAGACTCCAGCCACCCTAGTCATAGACTGTTCTCTCTGCTACCGCACGGCAAGCGGTACCGGAGTGCCAAGTCTAGGTCCAAAAGACTTCTCAACAGCTTCTACCCCAAGCCATAAGACTCCTGAACAGCTAATCATGGCTACCCTGACTATTTGCACTGCCCCCCCCCCCCCCCCCCCCCCCCCACCCCATCTTTTTACGCTGCTACTACTCTGTTAATTATTTATGCATAGTCACTTTAACTCTACCCACATGTACATATTACTTCAACTACCTCAACTAACCGGTGCCCCCGCACATTGACTCTGCACCGGTACCCCCCTGTATATATAGCCTCCCTATTGTTATTTTATTTTACTTCTGCTCTTTTTTTCCTCAACACTTTTTTGTTGTTGTTTTATTGTACTTTTTTATTAAAAAATAAATGCACTGTTGGTTAAGGGCTGTAAGTAAGTATTTCACTGTAATGTCTGCACCTGTTGTATTCGGCGCATGTGGCCAATAAAATTTGATTTGACCCTTCCCATATTTTGACCTTCACCAGTGAGTGGTGGGGATGCACAGCTTTCTGACATTTTACAGCTTAATGCTACCTGCTGTATTATTTGCTCACCAAACAGTTCCATGAAACTGGGTGGTACATAAACCAGGGGTGCAGATTAACCCCTTTCATCGACAGGATCACACAGCAACCATGATTTCTCTGGTCTTTGCTCTGCTCATTGGAGCAGTGTAAAAATTGTCATACTAACATCACAAATGTGTTTTTACGTTATTAAGAAATGTTATTCCACTTTTATCATAGTGCTATGCTTTTTTAAATAATCTCAAAAGGTGAGGTAATATAGCTAAGAATGTGCCTGCTCTCTGTTTCTAGTCGCCACGGAGGACGACAAGATCGCCGGAGGGTATGAGTGCAAGGCCTACTCCCAGCACCACCAGGTGTCTCTGCAGTCTGGCTACCACTTCTGCGGTGGCTCCCTGATCTCCAGCACATCGGTTTGTCACTCCTTCAGGCTCGTGCAGTGGAGGAGATCTTCGTGGGCTATACTCAGCCTTGTCTCAGGGTAGTAGGTTGGTGGTCTGTTGATATCCCTCTGGTGGTGTGGGGGCTGTGCTTTGGCAAAGTGGGTGAGGTTATATCCTGCCTGGTTGGCCCTGTCTGAGGGTATCGTCGGACGGGGCCACAGTGTCTCCCGACCCCCCCTGTCCCTTTCTCCCTCCCATCCCGGAGGACCTGAGCCCTAGGACCATGCCTCAGGACTACCTGGCCTGATGACTCCTTGCTGTCCCCAGTCCACCTGGTCGTGCTGCTGCTCCAGGTTCCACTCTTCTGCCTGCAGCTATGGAATCCTGACCTGTTCACCGATCGTGCTACCTTGTCCCTGACCTGCTGTTTTCAACTCTCTCGCTCTACCGCACCTGCTATTGCATCCTCTAAATGCCCGGCTATGAAAAGCCAAGTGACATTTTCTCCTGATGTACTGACCTGTTGCAACCTCTACAGCCACTGTTATTTGACCCTGCTGGTCATCTATGAACGTTTGAACATCTACTGTCATAATCTCCACCCGGCACAGCCAGAAGGGGACTGGCCACCCGTCAGAGCCTGGTTCCTCTCTAGGTTTCTTCCTTTCTAGGGAGTTTTTCCTAGCCACCATGCTTCTACATCTGCATTGCTTGCTGTTTGGGGTTTTAGGCTGGGTTTCTGTATAGCACTTTGTGACATCTGCTGATGTAAAAAGGGCTTTATATATACAATTTGATTGATTGATTGATGGGTGGTGTCTGCTGCTCACTGCTACAAGTCGTAAGTAACATGTAAACTACTTCCAATATATTGTGTCCACCCCTGTCTAGCGTATTTTGTTCTGTCAATATTTAGGAAAGTTAACCTAATTCAGTTATACTGATTCTATCTGGCCTGTCGTGAGTTTGTTTGTATCCGACAGGTACTTTACTTGCAAAATAATGTTTGGATGGAACTAAACTAAAGGACATAGTTTTAGAGTTTATATTTAACTAAGTTAATAAATTGGACCTCTCTCCCTCTCTCATGTGGAGGTGCGTCTGGGCGAGCACAACATTGCCAGGACTGAGGGTAGCGAGCAGTTCATCTCTTCTTCCCGCGTCATCCCCCACCCCAACTACAGCTCCTACAACATCAACAATGACATCATGCTGATCAAGCTGAGCAAGCCCGCCACCCTCAACACCTACGTGCAGCCTGTTGCTCTGCCCACCAGCTGTGCCCCCGCTGGCACCAAGTGTGTCGTCTCTGGATGGGGAAACACCATGAGCACCATGAGCTCCAGTGATTTTGGGGCTAGGTTATAAAATATACTTGGTCAGGTAACCATTGCCAGTGTTCAGATGTAAATGATACATAATTGACATGTTCTGCCTTTCACTCCCCCTTCTTTCTTTCTATCCATTCTTTCATTTCTCATCCATCCTTACAGCCGCCGATAGCGACAAGCTGCAGTGCCTGAACCTCCCCATCCTGTCTTTCAACGACTGTGACAACTCCTACCCTGGTCAGATCACTAATGCCATGTTCTGCGCTGGATTCCTGGAGGGAGGCAAGGACTCTTGCCAGGTACTGAACAGCACTGACCTGTAGAGGCTAGTCCTGCTCTACTACTGCCTCTGACCAGCTTATCAAAACTATTAAGACCAAAAATACAGTACAGAGAAACAGTGAAGTAAATCTCTCATTCTCTCTCTTTCAGGGTGACTCCGGTGTCCCTGTGGTGTGCAACGGTGAGCTGCAGGGTGTTGTGTCCTGGGGATATGGGTGTGCCGAGCCCGGTAACCCTGGTGTCTACGCCAAGGTAAGAATATAGGCTTCTGCTGCTAAGTTTGTGGGTTAAAGCATCATGTAGTCCCGTGTAGCTCAGTTGGTAGAGCATGGCGTTTGCAACGCCAGGGTTGTGGGTTCGTTTCCCACGGGTGACCAGTGTAAAAAAAAAAAAATTATGCACTAACTGTAAGTCGCTCTGGATAAGAGTGTCTGCTAAATGACTAAAATGTAATGTAGTTTCAAATAAATTCTATAATGGGTTTGTGACAGCATTCCTTTAGCAGACCACTGGTTCACCCCTGTCACAACTACATGTTTCTAACTTACATTTGCAAAATAATGTGCAGGTAATACCAACTTTATCCCAGGTCTACAGTAACTTGGCCCTGTGTCCACTAATGTCTCCCTTCTCCTTCTCTTCCTCCAGGTGTGCATCTTCAATGACTGGCTGACCAGCACCATGGCCACCTACTAAGTCTGATCCTAGCTTGGGTCCTCCAGTACAGTCCCACAACTGTACATCATCCTGTGCAGTTCAACATCCACGTTTTGCACAGGAGATTATACATTATTTATTTTCATGACAAATAAAGCATTTAACACTAAATACTTTTTTTCTGTTGTATTTGTACTCTCACTCTCCTTAGAAATCTTTGTAAAGGTATTTTTCTATCTTCTCATGTCAAGTAGTATTACTAGTAAACACCAGAGAAACTAGTAACACACAGCAAATTGTTTAAGTATGGATATTTTCTTACTAAAAGATGCAGGGGGTAAATTCATTGTGTCATGGTACCCTACCTTAACCACAACAATATACAACAAGGAACATTATTGATTACATTGATAATTTTGTATAGTTGTGTATTGATGCCTTGCTGCTCACAATAGCTGATATAGGGATGTTAAAAGTGTGGCATAATTGCTCCTCCTTCTTACCCATTTAGAGTATTCTCTCTGTGAGAGTTGTGTTGCTACTAAAATACTATGTGGTGCAACATGAATATGGTTGGATCTTACATAATGTTTGTATACTGGGTTGCATGATTTAGAGTCAATATCCATTGAATATTAAATCAGTCAGACTCAGTTCAGATGCTAAATACTGTACTTCAATATTCACAGTAAGAGATTTCGTAACCTCCATTATTGAGAGGGACAATCAGAGGCATCATCAGAGTTCCCGAACATTCAGGGCTCAGCCCTGGGCCATCACATGACAATACCTGTATATTAATGAATAAGAGGTGTTTGGCTATAAATATACAGTGGGGAGAACAAGCATTTGATACACTGCCGATTTTGCAGGTTTTCCTACTTACAAAGCATGTAGAGGTCTGTAATTTCTATCATGGGTACACTTCAACTGTGAGAGACGGAATCTAAAACAAAAATCCAGAAAATCACATTGTATGATTTTTAAGTAATTAATTTGCATTTTATTGCAATATATATATATATATATATATATATATATATATATATATATATATATATATATATATATATATATATATATATTGTGTGTGTGTGTATATACACTGCTCAAAAAAATTAAGGGAACACTAAAATAACACATCCTAGATCTGAATGAATGAAATAATCTTATTAAATACTTTTTTCTTTACATAGTTGAATGTGCTGACAACTAAATCACACAAAAATGATCAATGGAAATCAAATTTATCAACCCATGGAGGTCTGGATTTGGAGTCACCCTCAAAATTAAAGTGGAAAACCTCACTACAGGGTGATCCAACTTTGATGTAATGTCCTTAAAACAAGTGAAAATGAGGCTCAGTAGTGTGTGTGGCCTCCACGTGCCTGTATGACCTCCCTACAACGCCTGGGCATGCTCCTGATGAGGTGGCGGATGGTCTCCTGAGGGATCTCCTCCCAGACCTGGACTAAAGCATCCGCCAACTCCTGGACAGTCTGTGGTGCAACGTGGCGTTGGTGGATGGAGCGAGACATGATGTCCCAGATGTGCTCAATTGGATTCAGGTCTGGGGAACGGGCGGGCCAGTCCATAGCATCAATGCCTTCCTCTTGCAGGAACTGCTGACACACTCCAGCCACATGAGGTCTTGCATTAGGAGGAACCCAGGGCCAACCACACCAGCATATGGTCTCACAAGGGGTCTGAGGATCTCATCTCGGTACCTAATGGCAGTCAGGCTACCTCTGGCGAGCACATGGAGGGCTGTGCGGCCCCCCAAATAAATGCCACCCCACACCATGACTGACCCACCGCCAAACCGGTCATGCTGGAGGATGTTGCAGGCAGCAGAACGTTCTCCACGGCGTCTCCAGACTCTGTCACGTCTGTCACGTGCTCAGTGTGAACCTGCTTTCATCTGTGAAGAGCACAGGGCGCCAGTGGCGAATTTGCCAATCTTGGTGTTCTCTGGCAAATGCCAAACGTCCTGCACGGTGTTGGGCTGTAAGCACAACCCCTACCTGTGAACGTCGGGCCCTCATACCACCCTCATGGAGTCTGTTTCTGACTGTTTGAGCAGACACATGCACATTTGTGGCCTGCTGGAGGTCATTTTGCAGGGCTCTGGCAGTGCTCCTCCTGCTCCTCCTTGCACAAAGGCGGAGGTAGCAGTCCTGCTGCTGGGTTGTTGCCCTCCTACGGCCTCCTCCACGTCTCCTGATGTACTGGCCTGTCTCCTGGTAGCGCCTCCATGCTCTGGACACTACGCTGACAGACACAGCAAACCTTCTTGCCACAGCTCGCATTGATGTGCCATCCTGGATGAGCTGCACTACCTGAGCCACTTGTGTGGGTTGTAGACTCCGTCTCATGCTACCACTAGAGTGAAAGCACCGCCAGCATTCAAAAGTGATCAAAACATCAGCCAGGAAGCATAGGAACTGAGAAGTGGTCTGTGGTCACCACCTGCAAAACCAGTCCTTTATTGGGGGTGTCTTGCTAATTGCCTATAATTTCCACCTGTTGTCTATGCCATTTGCACAACAGCATGTGAAATTTATTGTCAATCAGTGTTGCTTCCTAAGTGGACAGTTTGATTTCACAGAAGTGTGATTGACTTGGAGTTACATTGTGTTGTTTAAGTGTTCCCTTAATTTTTTGAGCAGTATATATATTCATAACAATTCATAAGATAACATGTAATACCCAATGTAACTCTTCTAGTAGACAAACAGGTATTGCATATTGTATGTACAGTACTGATCAGACACAATGACACCAAGACATCTTATCTGTCTCAAGACCTACAGTGGGGAAAAAAAGTATTTAGTCAGCCACCAATTGTGCAAGTTCTCCCACTTAAAAAGATGAGAGAGGCCTGTAATTTTCATCATAGGTACACGTCAACTATGACAGACAAATTGAGCATTTTTTTTCCAGAAAATCACATTGTAGGATTTTTAATGAATTTATTTGCAAATTATGTTGGAAAATAAGTATTTGGTCACCTACAAACAAGCAAGATTTCTGGCTCTCACAGACCTGTAACTTCTTCTTTAAGAGGCTCCTCTGTCCTCCACTCGTTACCTGTATTAATGGCACCTGTTTGAACTTGTTATCAGTATAAAAGACACCTGTCCACAACCTCAAAGTCACACTCCAAACTCCACTATGGCCAAGACCAAAGAGCTGTCAAAGGACACCAGAAACAAAATTGTAGACCTGCACCAGGCTGGGAAGACTGAATCTGCAATAGGTAAGCTGCTTGGTTTGAAGAAATCAACTCTTGGGAGCAATTATTAGGAAGACATACCTGACCACTGATAATCTCCCTCGATCTGGGGCTCCACGCAAGATCTCACCCCGTGGGGTCAAAATGATCACAAGAACAGTGAGCAAAAATCCCAGAACCACACGGGGGGACCTAGTGAATGACCTGCAGAGAGCTGGGACCAAAGTAACAAAGCCTACCATCAGTAACACACTACGCCGCCAGGGACTCAAATCCTGCAGTGCAAGACGTGTCCCCCTGCTTAAACCAGTACATGTCCAGGCCCCGTCTGAAGTTTGCTAGAGTGCATTTGGATGATCCAGAAGAGGATTGGGAGAATGTCATATGGTCAGATGAAACCAAAAGATAACTTTTTGGTAAAAACTCAACTCGTCGTGTTTGGAGGACAAAGAATGCCGAGTTGCATCCAAAGAACACCATACCTACTGTGAAGCATGGGGGTTGAAACATCATGCTTTGGGGCTGTTTTTCTGCAAAGGGACCAGGACGACTGATCCGTGTAAAGGAAAGAATGAATGGGGCCATGTATCGTGAGATTTTGAGTGAAAACCTCCTTCCATCAGCAAGGGCATTGAAGATGAAACGTGGCTGGGTCTTTCAGCATGACAATGATCCCAAACACACCGCCCGGGCAACGAAGGAGTGGCTTCGTAAGAAGCATTTCAAGGTCCTGGAGTGGCTTAGCCAGTCTCCAGATCTCAATGCCATAGAAAATCTTTGGCGGGAGTTGAAAGTCCGTGTTGCCCAGCGACAGCCCCAAAACATCACTGCTCTAGAGGAGATCTGCATGGAGGAATGGGCCAAAATACCAGCAACAGTGTGTGAAAACCTTGTGAAGACTTACAGAAAACGTTTGACCTGTGTCATTGCCAACAAAGGGTATATACCAAAGTATTGAGAAACTTTTGTTATTGACCAAATACTTATTTTCCACCATAATTTGCAAATAAATTCATAAAAAATCCTACAATGTGAATTTCTGGATTTTTTTTTCTCATTTTGTCTGTCATAGTTGACGTGTACCTATGATGAAAATTACAGGCCTCTCTCATCTTTTTAAGTGGGAGAACTTGCACAATTGGTGGCTGACTAAATACTTTTTTTCCCCACTGTACATACATACATACATACATACATACATACATACATACACACACACACACACATATACAGTGAGGGAAAAAAGTATTTGATCCCCTGCTGATTTTGTATGTTTGCCCACTGACAAAGAAATGATCAGTCTATAATTTTAATGGTAGGTTTATTTGAACAGTGAGAGACAGAATAACAACAAAAAAATCCAGAAAAACCCATGTCAAAAATGTTATAAATTGATTTGCATTTTAATGAGGGAAATAAGTATTTGACCCCCTCTCAATCAGAAATATTTCTGGCTCCCAGGTGTCTTTTATACAGGTAACGAGCTGAGATTAGGAGCACACTCTTAAAGGGAGTGCTCCTAATCTCAGGTTGTTACCTGTATAAAAGACACCTGTCCACAGAAGCAATCAATCAATCAGATTCCAAACTCTCCACCATGGCCAAGACCAAAGGGCTCTCCAAGGATGTCAGGGACAAGATTGTAGACCTACACAAGGCTGGAATGGGCTACAAGACCATCACCAAGCAGCTTGGTGAGAAGGTGACAACAGTTGGTGCGATTATTCGCAAATGGAAGAAACACAAAAGACCTGTCAATCTCCCTCGGCCTGGGGCTCCATGCAAGATCTCACCTCGTGGAGTTGCAATGATCATGAGAATGGTGAGGAATCAGCCCAGAACTACACGGGAGGATCTTGTCAATGATCTCAAGGCAGCTGGGACCATAGTCACCAAGAAAACAATTGGTAACACACTACGCCGTGAAGGACTGAAATCCTGCAGCGCCCGCAAGGTCCCCCTGCTCAAGAAATCACATATACAGGCCCGTCTGAAGTTTGCCAATGAACATCTGAATGATTCAGAGGAGAACTGGGTGAAAGTGTTGTGGTCAAATGAGACCAAAATCGAGCTCTTTGGCATCAACTCAACTCGCCGTGTTTGGAGGAGGAGGAATGCTGCCTATGACCCCAAGAACACCATCTCCACCGTCAAACATGGAGGTGGAAACATTATGCTTTGGGGGGGTTTTTCTGCTAAGGGGACAGGACAACTTCACTGCATCAAAGGGACGATGGACGGGGCCATGTACCGTCAAATATTGGGTGAGAACCTCCTTCCCTCAGCCAGGGTATTGAAAATGGGTCGTGGATGGGTATTCCAGCATGACAATGACCCAAAACACACGGCCAAGGCAACAAAGGAGTGGCTCAAGAAGAAGCACATTAAGGTCCTGGAGTGGCCTAGCCAGTCTCCAGACCTTAATCCCATAGAAAATCTGTGGAGGGAGCTGAAGGTTCGAGTTGCCAAACGTCAGCCTCGAAAACCTAATGACTTGGAGAAGATCTGCAAAGAGGAGTGGGACAAAATCCCTCCTGAGATGTGTGCAAACCTGATGGCCAACTACAAGAAACGTCTTACCTCTGTGATTGCCAACAAGGATTTTGCCACCAAGTACTAAGTCATGTTTTGCAGAGGGGTCAAATACTTATTTCCCTCATTAAAATGCAAATCAATTGATAACATTTTTTACATGCGTTTTTCTGGATTTTTTTGTTGTTATTCTGTCTCTCACTGTTCAAATAAACCTACCATTAAAATTATAGACTGATCATGTCTTTGTCAGTGGGCAAACATACAAAATCAGCAGGGGATCAAATACTTTTTTCCCTCACTGTATATACATATACACATATACATACATACATATATATATACATACAAACATACATACATACACATATATATATATATATATATATATATATATATATATATATATATATATATATATATATATATATATATATATACACAGTGGGGAGAACAAGTATTTGATACACTGCCGATTTTGCAGGTTTTCTTACTTACAAAGCATGTAGAGGTCTGTAATTTTTATCATAGGTACAATTCAACTGTGAGAGACGGAATTAATCTCACATTGTATGATTTTTAAGTAATTAATTTGCATTTTATTGCATGACATAAGTATTTGATACATCAGAAAAGCAGAACTTAATATTTGGTACAGAAACCTTTGTTTGCAATTACAGAGATCATATGTTTCCTGTAGGTCTTGACCAGGTTTGCACACACTGCAGCAGGGATTTTGGCCCACTCCTCCATACAGATCTTCTCCAGATACTTCAGGTTTCGGGGCTGTCGCTGGGCAATACGGACTTTCAGCTCCCTGAATAGATTTTCTATTGGGTTCAGGTCTGGAGACTGGCTAGGCCACTCCAGGACCTTGAGATGCTTCTTACGGAGCCACTCCTTAGTTGCTCTGGCTGTGTGTTTCGGGCCATTGTCATGCTGGAAGACCCAGCCACGACCCATCTTCAATGCTCTTACTGAGGGAAGGAGGTTGTTGGCCAAGATCTCGCGATACATGGCCCCATCCATCCTCCCCTCAATACAGTGCAGTCGTCCTGTCCCCTTTGCAGAAAAGCATCCCCAAAGAATGATGTTTTCACCTCCATGCTTCACGGTTGGGGTGGTGTTCTTGGGGTTGTTTTCATCCTTCTTCTTCCTCCAAACACGGCGAGTGGAGTTTAGACCAAAAAGCTCTATTTTTCTCTCATCAGACCACATGACCTTCTCCCATTCCTCCTCTGGATCATCCAGATGGTCATTGGCAAACTTCAGACGGGCCTGGACATGCGCTGGCTTGAGCAGGGGGACCTTGCATGCGCTGCAGGATTTTAATCCATGACGGCGTAGTGTGTTACTAATGGTTTTCTTTGAGACTGTGGTCCCAGCTCTCTTCAGGTCATTGACCAGGTCCTGCTGTGTAGTTCTGGGCTGATCCCTCACCTTCCTCATGATCATTGATGCCCCACGAGGTGAGATCTTGCATGGAGCCCCAGACCGAGGGTGATTGACCGTCATCTTGAACTCTTTCTAATAATTGCGTCAACAGTTGTTGCCTTCTCACCTGCAGTCCGACTCATCCCAAACCATCTCAATTGGGTTGAGGCCGGGGGATTGTGGAGGCCAGGTCATCTGACACAGCGCTCCATCACTCTCCTTCTTGGTAAAATAGCCCTTACACAACCTGGAGAATGCTGTAGAATGTAGAATGTAGAATGTAGAATCACTGTAGAATGCTGTGGTAGCCATACTGGTTAAGTGTGCCTTGAACTCTAAAGAAATCACAGACTGTGTCACCAGCTAAGCACCCCAACACCATCACACCTCCTCCTCCATGCCTTGCGGTGGGAAATACACATGCGGAGATCATCCATTCACCCACACCGCGTCTCACAAAGACACAGTGGTTGGAACCAAAAATGTCCACCGGTCTAATGTCCATTTCTCGTGTTTCTTGGCCTAGCAGGTCTCTTCTTCTTATTGGTGTCCTTTACATTTACATTTTAGTCATTTAGCAGACGCTCTTATCCAGAGCGACTTACAGTTAGTGAGTGCATACATTATTTTATTTTTCATACTGGCCCCCCGTGGGAATTGAACCCACAACCCTGGCATTGCAAACGCCATGCTCTACCAACTGAGCTACATCCCTTTAGTAGTGGTTTCTTTGCAGCAATTCGACCATGAAGGCCTGATTCACACAGTCCCCTCTGAACAATTGATGTTGAGATGTGTCTTTTACTTGAATTCTGTGAAGCATTTATTTGGGCTAAAATTGAGGCTGGTAACTCTAATGAACTTGTCCTCTGCAGCAGAGTTAACTCTGGGTCTTTCAATCCTGTTGCGGTTCTCATGAAAGCCAGTTTCATCATAGCGCTTGATGGTTTTTGCGATCTTGTCACAAGACAACTGATTGGCTCAAACACATTAAGAAGGAAAGAAATTCCACAAATTAACTTTTAACAAGGCACACCTGTTAATTGAAATGCATTCCAGATGACTACCTCATGAAGCTGGTTGAGAGAATGCCAAGAGTGTGCAAAGCTGTCATCAAGTCAAATGGTGGCTATTTGAAGAATATAATTACATTTACGTCATTTAGCAGACGCTCTTATCCAGAGCGACTTACAGTTTAGTGAGTGCATAAAAAATGTTCATACTGGCCCCCCGTGGGAATCGAACCCACAACCCTGGCGTTGCAAGCGCCATGCTCTACCAACTGAGCTACACGGGACCTATAAAATATATTTTGATTTGTTTAACACTTTTTTGGTTACTACATGATTCCATGTGTTATTTCATAGTTCTGATGTCTTCACTTTTATTCTACAATGTAGAAAATAATCAAAATAAAGATAATATATAAATGCTATTTGTCATTATATGTCATAGAGAAATATGTAATTTATATATTTACACTTATTTCCGATTACATTTCCTAATCAGAAATCAACTTTTGAAATATCTCTATGCAACATAGAAAGGCCTTATATATAATAACAAAATAACAATTAATTACAATTAGAAACAAATAGAATACATTTGAGGCGGAACCATTTCATCCTAAAGTGGAACTATTTTTCACGGAACCCCATTCACCCACACAGACTGCGATAACTGATGCACCGGCAATGTCAAAGTTGTCAAACGAGATTGAAGACGTTACGCGACCTCGGAATGTATTAATGATCATATAAACCTAATTTACGCGAGAATAACGAAAGATAATCATCGTTAGAAAATCGGTTTACATTTTTAAAGGCCGGTTTGATTCATTTTTTCTTTCTAGCCCCTTGTAGGCGTCTGAACTCGACAAGATGCGCCTCACCATTCAGATGTTGATATCCCATGGCCGGGTGGCCCGTAAGATGGGTCTCGGTCCAGAGTCCCGAATAAACATGCTTCGGAACATTCTTACTGGGCTCGTTCGACACGAGAGGATAGAGACCACCCGAGGCAGAGCAGACGAAGTTCGATTCTATGCTGAAAAGGTGAGGACATGGATGGTAACCTTACCCTTTCACGCAGCTCAACACAGCTTCTTCTCCAATAGTAGTTCAAAGGCCGGCAGATGGCGATATTGAGTCGTTTCATCTTTCCGTCCAAAGGGAATGTATGCAGCCGGCTATACACTTGTATACCCCGTCAGCCAATCACACCTGGGGTGAAAAAACAGACTGCTCCAACCTGATTGGCTGAACGCGATAGGCAACATCCAGAACATGTCGGAAAATGGTGTTTCATGAAGAAAGTATGCATATTTTCCCTTCTTTTTTTTCTCGCCTTCTCTCCATTAAATCGAGTTAAGGAGGACATCACCTCCTTTGCAGCCTGAATGGAGAATGTTTTATGTACAACCCGGTCCTTGGGGGATATGAGTGTATAGCTGGCTACATAGATTCCCTTTGGACGGTAAGATGAAGCGACTCAATATTGTCATCTACCAGCCTTTGGGCTACTCCACTAGTTGACTAAACTCAACTCCCATGGTGAAGGAAGTTTCTGATGAACTCCACCAGTGGAGTTGAGCAGAGTCCATGCTTTGTGAAATTCAGCTCTGACTACATTGATTCGCCCAAGGTCAATAGTAAATTATGAAATGCTTACCTTGTACTAATGGATGTCCTATGTAGTTGTGTGCCTTTCTTTCTTTGCTGAAATCCATACTTTTTAATCAAACTTTAATCAAATACAACCATGGAGTTGAGTTTTGTGAGCTACTTCTCAACCATCCATGTTTTGTAGGCTACTGTAGTTTTTGACAGCTTGTGACGTTGTTGACCAATGAGTGATGTTGTTTTGCAGTTGATTGACTATGCCAAGAAGGGAGACACTGACGAGAAAGCGATGAAAATGGCAAACTTCTGGCTCACAGTAATTGTTCTTTCTATATGATCTTTGTATTTTAATGTCCACAGCTTTGTTGTTCTATTATCTACCAGATTAGTATGAGTGAGTGTTACTAGTTCTTTCAGTCAGTCATCATCCTCTCTCTCTCCTCTGTGGTTTCAGGAAAAGGATCTGATCCCAAAGCTCTTCAAGGTCCTGGCTCCCAGGTTTGAGACCCAGCCCAAAGCCTACACCCGGATGGCCCGCATTCCCAACAGGGAGAACCTGGACAAGGCTGCCATGGCCGTGCTGGAGTACAAAGGCAACCCGTTCCCACCTCTCCAGCCCGCCAAACAAGATAATGAACTCACGTTAATCAACCAGCTCCTCAAAGGCTACAGAGAGGAGCGGGCACAGCAGGCAGCAGCCAAGGTTGAGGCGTAATGCAACCAGCCACACACTGACATTACATGTGTTAGATCAGGGGTGTGTTCGGTACGGTGAAACATTTAGAATGTCATGTCTGTTCTACACAATGTATTTCTATCCGAACATTCTGGAACGTTGCCCCCTCCTGAATAAGCCCCTGTATTTCCCTAGTAGGGGACCCGCTGGTGGGTTGTGGTCTTTACCGTTATAGTCCACAGATTCTGACTAGGTCCTGACTTGGAAACATTTTGTTGCTTTGTGTGTAATAAGAAAACACCCAACACTTTTGGTGGATCATAGTACAGAAACATGTGGGAGCCACTGTAGATGACTGACTACAGTATTTATGACTTTCTATGGACCCCACTGAACATGAAAGAGGATGTTGTGTGTCAAAATAAATGTGATTGTTTGACAATGTTAAGCGTTCTGTTATTTTGACTGTTAGTCAAATGAAAAGTTATGTTCATGACACTACTGTGAATTTAACAGATGTGCTTACATCAGAAACAGGTTCGATGTGCTGTTATTATTCCCTCTACTGGTTCAGAAACATGTCCCCCAAACTTTTCATTATTATCAAGGTTTGATGTCCTGTTATTAATCCCTCTACTGATTCAGAATAAACATCAGTGGCAAATAGAGGCAGGATATTTTATGAAAGCAACCACCTTCAGTCTTCTGTGAGTTGAGCCAGCCAGGCATAATCACACACTCCTCATGAGCTTCCCCATTCGTTCTATTTGTTTAGATTCAAACTGTTTTGTTATTAAGAGCTGCTGTAGAGCTTGGTTTTTACATACTGGTAATTACTTGCCTAAATTTCCCCAAACCTATTGCAATTATATTCAATTGGACCTGCTCTCCGCTCTCCTTTGCCACTTGCCTGTAAGCACTCCAATTGTGAGATTGGTTCCAGAATAATAATTGTACTGTAACAAGGTGGAGTTGATGTTTTGGACGAATGCCCTTGCCCTTCTACAACACATAAAAACAACTCGTACACATTCACACTGTGGCCAAGGTATGAAAGAAACAGACAAGGCCTCTAATAAAACCAACCATTTTAATTTGGCAAAAAGTGTATGTACAGCGTATTCAGAATATCCTCATTTGACACCATTAAAATGCATTCATTTCGAACAGTGCTTCAGTAATGTGCTCTTAACCAGACCTCTCTAAATACCCAGGAAGCTGTGCTGTTATCTGTCATGCATATAAAACCCTCACACTCATCTGCCTTTGCTCTTCCACTTGTGTCCGTGTGTAATAGACAAATACCATAGATAAGTTGATCATGCAGCTTGTTCTACAGGATGAATGGAACCTGTCAGTCAATATCAATCTGTTCAGTCAAGTAATGGCATCTGTAATCGTGGACAACAGTGGATTGTAATGGCAATAGAGCTGAATTTATACGCCTACAGAGACACAATCTTTAGATCACCAGAACAATCTAATTCAAGTAGCATTCTTTTTTACAGACTAAATTATACCTTTGACTATGTTCTTATGTACATAACATGTGCTGTACCAGTCTGACCAACCCAAGCCTACTCCAGACATCTACTACAGAAAGACAATAAAGGTCTATTGATAAAACCATTAGAAACAGTCGATTAACCACCATTATCCCCCCCCCCCCCTACCCTTTTTTTTACAGATTGGATTTTTTAAAAATTAGACTGATGCATGTTTCATACTCAGATATTAAGAAGTTATACAAGAAAAAATAAATAATTGTTGATTGCTTCCATTTCTTAGAAGAAACAGGTGGTAAAATTATCCTTGACACAGTCTTATGAATAGGCTACTTAATCAACTTAATGTTATTCAGACACCATTTTTTAAATGTCTGATAATGACACTTGATTAAATTAATATGAACATATCTACAGGTAACGTTTGTGTATTTGATACCGGAATATCATTGGATCTATTGTGTGGATACCTATAATTCAGTTAAAAGCGCTCTTCAAAGTCACTTTGAAATAAATGGCAGAATAAGAAAATCTAAGAGAAGGGGGACATTAAAGTGCTCCATGCAGGACAAACAGGACGTTGGTGCTATTACTTTCACAGTTACTCTAAAGGGTTTGCTTCAGTTGTGTATGGGCCAAGGAGTTTTCATGGTCAGGAAGAACTACTGATTCTACTTATCGATAAACAACAATGAGCAAGCCCCTCACACAGTATCAGAGCAGATGTACTGTAGAACTTCACTGAGGGAAACGGCCATACATGTACAGGTTTGACATGACATCATTACATACTAGTCAGGGGGGGGGGGGGGGGGGGGGGGGGTGATCATGAAGTCATATCCTCGCTGGACAACCTTCCCTCCTTAAATCATGTGTCAAGGATGGAGGCTGAAATTGAAAGTAAAACAAGCTATAAGTATGATTTTTATGTTACAAAAAACGTAACTTTAAAACCACCCCTTTCCTTCTGCTCTATTGCATTAATACATTCACCAAGGTCTACATACATCAAGGAATTACATTCAGAGCAAGCTAATATCTTGCACTCCAGTGAAAACTGAACAGTAGTATTCAGAGTTAAAACAGTTATCTGTGGACAGTATGACATAAGGTAACATAAGGTTCCAATATAAATCCCTAAGAATTGACATTAACACCCTCAGTAGCCTATATGGTATGAAATATACACAGTTATTGTATAGTTAATAATGTTATTGTATAGTTGTTTGGTACAACAGGCACACACACTGTATGAGCACATGGAGTATATCAGTTTAGAGACAGGGAGTACGGTAGATACAGTACACACTTGTTTTACCAGTACCTCTGGGGTCCACAGTAAACTGAACATTGTACACTTAAACACCAGTATATCAATCCTATAGCCTGGAGCAATCAACATATATAAGAATATAAATCATCCCAACATATCCTATATGGAGAAATTAAATATTTTGTGTTAACAAAATCTGTCAAACATAGAAAAAAACAAATGTATTGTTTCAGGAAGGGAGTGAACATTTTACTCTGGTACAATGTAATGGCATGAGAATTGCAATGGTCACAGCACCACTTGGAATTCGACAATGTGGAAAAAAACATCCCTTTTGTAATATAAACTCTGCAACTATTTTAGAGTAATGGTAACTCATTCTCTTCAGCTATTTACACTTTCCCTCAGCCCCTCCATTGATGCCTTATAAATTCTTGAATACAAGTGTTCATAAGAGTTTTGTTCAGTCTCCACTGTGCACTCCTATCATTCTATTGCTCAGTCTACATCCACTCTGTCATCTCTCCCTCTCGGTGCCTCTCTCCCTGGTCATGTTAAAATATTTATTGCTTCTTTTTTCTTTTACAACCTCAGCACTTTTTAACTCACAGCCATTTCCTCTCCTTTATTCCGCTCTTTTCCCATTCTCTCCATTCAGAGGTGAAAATGGGACGTTTAGGGCTTCTATTCCACATGCCTGCTTTTGATAACTTCCCCTTCTCTTCCTCCTTATATCCTTCCCTCGTGGCTATCCATAGCTTGACCTGTTTTCTGTGCTACCTGATCTTCCTCCACCTCCCTCTCGATCTCTCTCTGTCCCTCTTTCTCTCTTTCTGTCCCTCTTTCTCTCTGTCTGTCTCATGCCTTGGTGCCCACGCCCCCTCCCCCCTGCATGCTGAAGTACTCAGTGAAGTGGGAGGGGAGTCGTGGAGGGGGAGGGGGGGAGTGGGCGGAGAGGCGCGGGGGCATGGGGGGAGGGAGTGGGGGGAAGGTGGGTGACGACAGGTCGGCCGTGGTGGTGATGATCTTATGCTCACTGTTCCTCTGCATTTCCTGTCCCTTCCGGGCCACCGTCTCCTCCACCGTCTTCACCGGGCCCTGAGAGAGAGGGAGGTATAGGTTGAAAGGTTAAAGGTCACGCTGGGTTGTATTTGTCACACTATCAGTTACCACATCCTTCTCTGACAACTCCTCTGTGCTCTAACACCTCTGGAGTGTTACAGGTTACAGGGACTATATCAGACCTTAGTATCAGTTACTAGATCCTCCTCAGACCATACATCACTCACCGACTGGATGGAGAAGAGTTCTGTGAAGTTGGGCTGGGAGTCGCCCAGGAAGGAGCTGTTCCCGTAGGCATGGTGGGGGAAACTCTCACTCGCCACACCCGCCTTTGGACTGGACAGCAGGATCCCGATCTGAGAGGTCCGCACGTGGTACGGGAAGTTCTTATTGGCCGCAGAGGGCCGTGTGATAGCCTGTGGCGAGGCAGGGTGGGAGGGAGAGGGGATGGATGGGAGGAATGTATCATATTCCGGATATTGCCTGTTGCCTGTACAAATATTAACCTGCATTCTCCATACACGGATACACATTCCTGCACATATAATAACAGAACAGTATGTGTGTGTGTGTGTCACTGACAAATGACAGAGAGGCTCAGTCTGGTATAGAAGTCTGGGACAGAGAGGCTCAGTCTGGTATAGAAGTCTGGGACAGAGAGGCTCAGTCTGGTATAGAAGTCTGGGACAGAGAGGCTCAGTCTGGTATAGAAGTCTGGGACAGAGAGGCTCAGTCTGGTATAGAGGTCGCGGACAGAGAGCCTCAGTCTGGTATAGAAATATGTGAAAGAGAGGCTCAGTCTGGTATAGAAGTCTGGGACAGAGAGGCTCAGTCTGGTATAGAAGTCTGGGTTTGGAATATACTGACGCAGAGGCCGATGAGGACAGACAGATATGACTCATAGATATTAAAAGAGAGGTGAGAAGGGTTTGTATGTGTGTGCGTGCGTGTGGAGGGCAGAGGGTTACTAACGAGGCGGGAGATGAGGTCTTAGAGATATAACTCATTAACATCAACAGTGAGGCAGTGTGTGTATCTGTGCGCACATCCGTGCCTGTGTGTGAGTGTGTAGAGAGATGAAGGGTACTAACGAGGAATACGATGTGAGCATAGAGGTGGATGCCCAGTTGGATGCCGTTGACGATCTTCTCCCGTGCCCAGCGAGGGATGCCAAAGTTAGCTATCAGAGCCATGACGGGCACCGCGAAAAACCTGCCAGAGGGACAGAGAGGAGAGAGAGTTAATGAGAGAGAGAGAGGAGAGAGAGTTAATGAGAGAGAGAGGAGAGAGAGTTAATGAGAGAGAAAGGAGAGAGAGTTAATGAGAGAGAAAGGAGAGAGAGATTAAGAGAGAGAGGAGAGAGAGAGATAGTGAAGGGGGAGATTGAGATATGTAAAAAAGGAATATGGTGGAGTAGTGACAAAAGGAAACGAGAGGGAGAGGAGGAGGAGGGAGAGGCGGAGGGAGAGGCGGAGGGAGAGGCGGACAGATTTAATATGAGCAAGCAAGAAGTGGAAAAATAAGGGAGACAGGGAGTTTATTGGGCTTCACTGGGCTTTGAAGGGAAATAAGAGAGGGTGAGAGGTTGTAATGCTTTGTAGGGAATGAAGTTGATTAACTTGACAGAGACAAACAGCATGCAGAGAGTGAAGGGTTGTAGGGCTCTGTCCTCTCACCAGAGTGTGTACGCCGTGAAGAAGGGAATGTAGAAGGGTTGTTTCTCAGGGTAGTGTTTGAGGGAGATCAGGACGGCGTAGCAGAACCACACGTAGGCCAGCAGCTGGAGACCCATCAGACCGTAGCCCGCCGGGCTGTCATACGCATACAGCACCTCACCTGGGTCAAAGAACTGAGACACACACACACACACACTCAGAACGTCCTACAACCACACTGATGGACCCCACCCTACTAATCAACCTACTAACTTTGCCCTCAAACAAAGAGGTGTATTACAATACGTTCTCCAGCGTGTGTTGTAACAGCATGTGGTCTGCTGACATGTTGGGATGTGAAATCTACTAGTTTTTATTGGTGAGTGTGTCTAAAAGTGTGTGCGTATGTGTACAAGTGTGTGTGTGTGTGTGTGTGTGTGTGTGTGTGTGTCTGTGTGTCATTGACTCTTCTCTACAACTGGGTCATTGACAGTGCCTGTGATTGCGTGCTATGTATTCAGTTTCACAGGCCAGAGACTGGATATCATTGGTCATACAGGGTTACCCCGTCGTGCCCTGCATTATGTATGTACAGGCCAAGTGCTAGGCACCGACAGGCTGGGGAAGAAACTCCTGTCCCTCTTGAGTAGGCCCCTTTTATTTTTATATGTTCATTTCACCTTTATCTTACCAGGAGGTCCCATGACAAGTGAACCTCATTTCCAAGAGGGACCCATCCTAAATTATAGTACAGCACATTTTGCATTTGTAATGGAGGTGATTCTGTGAACCATGCTTGGCTGATGAGTGACCGTGCCCGAGTACCTGAAGACTAGCTCCTAGAGCTAATGCCTAGGCTTCAACTCAGTAGGCTAACACAGTCTTGTGGGACACAGGAATCCCTGGTTGAAACTTAGACCGTCATACACTGGTCCTTCACGTATAGCATGAACAGTATGAGTGTAGCAGCAGCAGTTCTGTAGAGTAGACTGCAGTACCTCTGCCTCGTATATGAAGAGGATGATATAGGTGACGGTGTAGACTGTCATGTAGATGGACAGCTTGACAGATCCACTGTGGCTGATCCTCGCCCTGACAGAGACGGATACACACAGGGGGGGTTTATTTATTTATTTTATTTTATTTAACCTTTATTTAACTAGGCAAGTCAGTTAAGAACACATTCTTATTTACAATGACAAACACTCACTCACACACACACTCACAAACACACACTCACTCACTCGCACACCCACACACACACAGGGTTGGCCACATATTCCCTCTTTATGATGCAGTGTAGACAGACAGCTTATCTAAATAGCTATTCATCAGCACATTTCAGAGATGTAACGATAATGACAAAGTCTGCTCTATTAAAGTCACAGCTACTATTCTGTATGAGATAGTGAGAGAGAAAGGGAGACTAAGAGAGAGAGGAAGGAGAGCGAGAGAGACAGAGAGAAAGACAGAGGGCGATGAGAGAGGAGCAGAGCGGGGAGAGAGACGAACAAAGAGAGAGAGAGCGGAAAGAGAAAGAGAAACAGGGAAATTAGAGCGAGAGCAAGTGAGAAAGACAGAGAGAGACTGAGCTACTGGTACGAGTTAGAAGGGTAAGACAGAGAGAGACTGAGCTACTGGTACGAGATAGAAGGGTAAGACAGAGAGAGACTGAGCTACTGGTACGAGTTAGAAGGGTAAGACAGAGAGAGACTGAGCTACTGGTACGAGTTAGAAGGGTAAGACAGAGAGAGACTGAGCTACTGGTACGAGTTAGAAGGAGTAAGACAGAGAGAGACTGAGCTACTGGTACGAGTTAGAAGGCGTAAGACAGAGAGAGACTGAGCTACTGGTACGAGTTAGAAGGCGTAAGACAGAGAGAGACTGAGCTACTGGTACGAGTTAGAAGGAGTAAGACAGAGAGAGACTGAGCTACTGGTACGAGATAGAAGGAGTAAGACAGAGAGAGACTGAGCTACTGGTACGAGTTAGAAGGCGTAAGACAGAGAGAGACTGAGCTACTGGTACGAGTTAGAAGGCGTAAGACAGAGAGAGACTGAGCTACTGGTACGAGTTAGAAGGCGTAAGACATAGAGAGACTGAGCTACTGGTACGAGTTAGAAGGGTAAGACAGAGAGAGAGACTGAGCTACTGGTACGAGTTAGAAGGAGTAAGACATAGAGAGACTGAGCTACTGGTATGTGTTTGAAGGAGTGATATGATGTGTTTTATATAGGATTTGTTAATGTGTTTGATATTACGTGTTACATAGGATTTTGAGGATGAGGACATTCCATTTATTTATGTCACTGGTGGGTGCCAGAAGGTATTTGTACCAAGGAGGTCTAGGGGGCCCACTTGTGTTAATCTTAGAATGAGTACGTGATGGAATGTCCTTACTGGGGTGCAAGCTGACTGGATTGCAAGATGATACTATTGTAGTTGGGAGTGACACCCAATAATGATTGGCAACTGTTGGATGGAATTAGCTTGCAAAACAGTATATAAACTGAGAGATTTTCTATGTATTCATTCAAATAGCAAGGGGCCACTCACGTGCAGTTTGTTTTGTTGAATCCGGTACCGTATTTTAAATACTTTGTATCAACTCTCCATCTAAGTGTTAAATATCTTCTTGCATATTGAATTCCTTGATACCAGAGAAACTCATCATAACAAGGAGTCAGACATAGAGAGACTGAGCTACTGGTACGAGTTAGAAGGAGTAAGACATAGATAGACTGAGCTACTGGTACGAGTTAGGAGTAAGACAGAGAGAGTGGCTGGAGGATTTAATCCAGAGACACACTGTAATGAAGTAGTGAACCTGTCAGCCTGACAAGCAGTTAGACTGACATGTCCCCCAGGGGCTCTGACCCTGAGACCATAGGTGCGACTGCATGAGACCAGACAAAGTGTGAGACACACACCGCAAGACACACACACAAACACACACACTCCCTACCTGGTGACAGTGAAACCTTTCCCCAGCAGGATCAGCATCAGCAGGAACACCAGGAAACTGACAGAGAACAGTAATTTTCCTGAAGAGAGAGAGAGCGAGAGAGAGAGCGAGAGAGAGAGAGAGAGAGAGAAGAAAATGAGAACCCCATAGAGAGTGAAAGAGAGGTTACTGTAAGTAGGTTATAGTATCTGAATATGTAACATCATACCCGAACCTGAAATCAGGTCACTCATTAACTCCAGTACACGCTCACACACACTTGCTACATACCCAAATAAGGATACACTCATCCTCTCGTGTGCACTCTCTTGCACTGCATGGGTTGTGTGGGAAAGTTTCTGCATTACAGCCTTTCTCAGGGTGCTTTTGCGTTACATCCTTTATCAGGGTGTTTCTGCATTACAGCCTTTATCAGGGTGTTTCTGCATTCCATCCTTTATCAGGGTGTTTCTGCATTACAGCCTTTATCAGGGTGTTTCTGCATTACAGCCTTTATCAGGGTGTTTCTGCATTGGGCTCCCGAGTGGCACAGCGGTCTAAGGCACTGCATCTCAGTGCTTGAGGCATCACTAGACCCCCTGGTTCGATTCCAGGCTGTATCACAACCGGCCGTGCTTGGGAGTCCCATAGGGTGGCGCACAATTGGCCCAGCATCGTCCGGGTTTGGCCGGTGTAGGCCGTCATTGTAAATAAAAATGTGTTCTTAACTGACTTGCCTAGTTAAATAAAGGTTAAATAAATAAATTACATCCTTTATCAGGGTGTTTATGCATTACATCCTTTATCAGGGTGTTTCTGCATTACAGCCTTTATCAAGGTGTTTATGCATTACATTCTTTATCAGGGTGTTTCTGCATTACAGCCTTTATCAGGGTGTTTCTGCATTACATCCTTTATCAGGGTGTTTCTGCATTACAGCCTTTAACAGGGTGTTTCTGCATTACAGCCTTTATCAGGGTGTTTCTGCATTACAGCCTTTATCAGGTGTTTCTGCATTACATCCTTTATCAGGGTGTTTCTGCATGTCAGCCTTTATCAGGGTGTTTCTGCATTACAGCCTTTATCAGGGTGTTTCTGCATTGCATCCTTTATCAGGGTGTTTCTGCATTACATCCTTTATCAGGGTGTTTCTGCATTACAGCCTTTATCAGGGTGTTTCTGCATTACAGCCTTTATCAGGGTGTTTCTGCATTACAGCCTTTATCAGGGTGTTTCTGCATTACATCCTTTATCAGGGTGTTTCTGCATTACAGCCTTTATCAGGGTGTTTCTGCATTACATTCTTTATCAGGGTGTTTCTGCATTACAGCCTTTATCAGGGTGTTTCTGCATTACATCCTTTATCAAGGTGTTTGTGATGATCAGGCTCACCCATTATCTTGAGACTGCCGTTGCCCACTCCATCTCTGGCATACAGCCCCCAGTAGATACAGTGGAACAGAAGGCTGAGAACTGAGGGGAGGAAGAGGGGAGGAAGAGGGGAGGAGAGAGGGACAGAGAGAGGGAGGAGATGGAGAGCAGGGAGGAGAGTGAGAGAAAGAGAGAGGGATATTTCACTGTTCTGCACTGCAGAGCTGTATATAGCAGCAGCAGTCCTACCCTACACAGAGACAGGGAGCTATCTGTATGGTGCTGAAGCAGTGGTTAATATCTATGATAATCAGAAGGAGTCATTACCATGTCTGAGATACCAACGACTGCAGTGTGTGAGTCAGATTGTGATGCTGCTGCAACCGGCAGCCTGTGGGTGTGTGTGTGAGTGTGTATGTGTGGAGTTAATGTCCACACTCACCCTCTACACCAGCCGCAGTCATAAACATCTTATATGTCGTATGGAGAAGCTGCCTTCCCTTCAGATTATCTAGGAGAGAGATAGAAAGATAGGGGGAGAGAGAGAGAGCGAGATAGAGAACGAGAGAGAGTGAGAGAGACAAATAAAGAGAGAGTGAAATGAAGAGGAGAGAGAGAGACAGATGAAGAGGAGAGAGAGAGACGGATGAAGAGGAGAGAGAGAGACGGATGAAGAGGAGAGAGATAGACGAGGAGGAGCGAGAAAGATAGATGAAGAGGAAAAGACAGAGTGATGGGTTAGAGGGGAAAGATGCAGTGACAGAGACACAGGATCAGAGATGGTAATGTATAGAGAAGGATAGAGAATGAGAGAGAGAGAGAGAGAGAGGGAGAGAGAGAGAGGAGAGTGGTGTATTGGGCATTAGTATGTGCAGCAGGAGTCTGTGTGTTTGTAGACACATGGGCTGTATTATCTGACGAGATGCTCTCCCACTTTACCTAGGCTGGCTTCTACATGTTCAGCCCAAATGACAAGTTCCTCCACCAGAGAGGAGCCACTTGTTCCTCCCTTCCCTCATTCCCAGAAAGACGTCCCCATTCCTTGCCAGATTCCATAATGACAAGCTCTATTCCTCTAATCTTTGTCTTTATTCAGAAAGGCAGGCGCTTTTCACCCCTTCCCTCATCCCAGAAAAGACTAGCACTTAAGGCTAGTGTAATTCTGACGTTAGGTGCATTAATGCCAATGAGACATTTGTGTGAAGATGGGAGTTAAGAGCAGAGATCTCAGGTTAGGGTTGGCTGCTAAGTGCTTTTCTGGTGTGATTTTGTTCCTCAGGCACTTACAGGCAAAATAACAGGAGAGGATGAAGACCAGGGAGAAGATAACCAGAAACGTGATGTCAGTCTCCAGGATCCCTGAGAATAGAGGAATGGGTTAGAGATAGAGAGAGAGAAGAGGAGAGAGAGAAGAGAGAGAGAGAGAAGAGAGAGAGAGAGAGAGAGAGGAGAGAGAGAGAGAGAGAGAGAGAGAGAGAGAGAGAGAGAGAGAGAAGAGAGAGCGAGAGAGATGGTGACAAGAGAGAGAGGGAGGGGGGGAGAGAGAGAGGCAGATAGAGGGTGTGAGATAGTGACGAGAGAGAGAGGCAGATAGAGGGTGTGAGATGTGAACAAGAGAGAGGGAGAGGGGAGAGAGGAGTCAGATAGATTGTTGAGATGGTGACAGAGAGAGACGCGGAGAGAGAGAGAGAGTGAGATGGTGATAAGAGAGAGAGGGGGAGAGAGAGAGAGGCAGATAAAGGGTGTGAGATGGTGAGAGAGAGAGTCAGATATAGGTGTGAGATGGTTTATTAGATGGTTTGGGAGATAGAGATGAGATATAAATCTAGCTAGAGAGAGCGAGAGAAGAGAGATATAGAGAGAGAGAGAGAGAGGGAGAGGACAGACAGACAGGGAGAGACAGAGACAGGTCATTAGAACATCAGGATAAGGGAGTAGTTTAATATTGCCATTTTCTACACTGCGTCCCGTTTCCTTTTTATCCATTCCGCCCATGTTAATCCATCATCATTAATTCATCCATCCATCCATTCTTCGTTATCATAATTTGTTCATTTTAATATGCTTTATTGGCCGTGTTAAATAGTGTTGGAAAAGCCATTAACGTTCATTCTGTAATCTGTGTCGTTCTCACCAAACTCGTCTGCAGAGAAATGCTGTGTCCAGAAAGACTGGCCATTGGTCAGCTTCATCTCGTACTCCAGCTGCAAACCTTCCCCCTGAGAGACAGAGACAGAGAGGGAGAGAGAGAGAAAGAACGAGACAGAGGAAGAGAGCGGGGAGTTAGATGGAGCGACAGTGAGCACACAAAGAGCTCATTTCACAGAGAGGAGTTCAAAGCCTCTGGAGTTTGTGTTGTTGTGCTGTGAGTGAGGGAAAAAACCTTTGATTTCATCTACCAGCCAAGACTCCATCTCAGTACCTCCATCAGAAGAGTGAAGAGCATGAAGCGTGCACTGTCACAAAATCAATACTAGCCAGGCAGGACTGGGAGAGAGGGAGAGAGACATTGAGAGACAGAGAGCAGTGAGAGGAGACAGGCAGGACTAGGAGAGAGGGAGAGAGACACAGAGACAAAGCGAGCAGTGAGAGGAGACAGGCAGGACTGGGAGAGAGGGAGAGAGACACAGAGACAGAGAGCAGTTGAGGGAGATCAGGCAGGACTGGGAGAGGAGGGAGAGAACACAGAGACAGAGAGGCAGTGAGAGGAGGGACAGGCAGGGAACTTGGGGGAGAGGGATGAGAGAGAGACACAGAGACAGAGAGCAGTGAAGAGGAGACAGGCCAGGACTGAGAGAGAGGGAGGAGAGAACATAGCGGGACATAGAGCAGTTGAGAGGAGTACAGGCAGGACTGGGAGATAGGGAGAGAGACACAGCGGACAGAGAGCAGTGAGAGGAGAAAGGTCATGACGGGAGAGAGGGGAGGAGACCACGAGACAGAGAGCAGTGAGAGGAGACAGGCAGGACTGGGAGAGAGGGAGAGAGACACAGCGACAGAGAGCAGTGAGAGGAGACAGGCAGGACTGGGAGAGAGGGAGAGAGACACAGAGACAGAGAGCAGTGAGAGGAGACAGGCAGGACTGGGAGAGAGGAGAGAGACACAGAGACAGAGAGCAGTGAGAGGAGACAGGCAGGACTGGGAGAGAGGGAGAGAGACACAGCGACAGAGAGCATGAGAGGAGACAAGGCAGGACTGGGAGAGAGGGATAGAGACACAGCGACAGAGAGCAGTGGAGGGGGGAGACAGGCAGGACTGAGAGAGAGGGAGAGAGACACAGCGACAGAGAGCAGTGAGAGGAGACAGGCAGGACTGGGAGAGAGGGAGAGAGACACAGAGACAGAGAGCAGTGAGAGAGACAGGCCAGGACTGGAGAGAGGGAGAGAGGCGAGAGCGAAACAGAGACAGAGAGCAGTTGAGAGGAGACATGGCAGGACTGGGAGAGAGGGAGAGAGACACAGAGGACAGAGAGCAGTGCAGAGGAGACAGGCAGGACTGGGAGAGAGGGAGAGAGACACAGCGACAGAAGAGCAGTGGAGAGGAGACAGGCAGGACTGGGAGATAGGGAGAGAGACACAGCGAAAGAGAGGCAGTTGAGGGGAGACAGGCAGGACTGAAGAGAGAGGGAAGAGAGACACAGCGACAGAGACAGCAGTGAGAGAGACAGGCAGGGAACTTGAGAGAGAGGGACCTAGAGACACCGAGACAGAGAGCAGTGAGAGGGAGACAGGCAATGGACTGGGAGAGGGAGAGAGACACAGAGACAGAGAGCAGTGAGAGGAGACAGGCAGGACTGGGAGAGAGGGAGAGAGACACAGAGACAGAGAGCAGTGAGAGGAGACAGGCAGGACTGGGAGAGAGGGAGAGAGACACAGAGACAGAGAGCAGTGAGAGGAGATGAAGTGATGCAGAGAAAGAAGGCCACAGTAAAGGAGAGATGCAAAGAGTAGGTGAACAAGAAAGAGTAAGAATGAGAGAAAGAGGTGAAGAGAAAGACAGAGAGAGAGTGACAGAAGCACCAGAGAGAGTAAGAACTGAGAGAGGGTGGAAGGCGTGTATTATATTGGCAGTGTGCAGGCGAGGTGAGGCGGGGCGAGGAGAGTCCCTAGGGCCATGTGGGCCGGAGACAGAGCTTTAACTTCAGTCCAACACCATTAGGCATCATGTCCGTCAACAGCCCTCCACTTGCTGCCGTGACAACACAACACACTCTCCAGGAAACATCCGCTTCAATCCTGTCTGTCCCTCTTCACAAACACTCACTCTCTACTAACACTCCAACACTGCCAGTCAGTGTGTGGATAAAATGGCCCTGCCACCACACACACACACACAGATGCAGACACTTGCACACACACACTTCTGCATGTATATGCACACACAAAAGCACTCAAGCACGCATACAGAGAAAATCTACACTGAGTATACCAACATTAGGAACACCTTCCTTTTGCCCTCAGAACAGCCTCAATTCGTCAGGGCATGGACTCTACAAGGTGTCGAAAGCTTTCCACAGGGATGCTGGCCCATGTTGACGCCAATGCTTCCCACAGTTGTGTCAAGTTGGTTGGATGTCCTTTGGGTGGTGGTCCATTCTTGATACACACGGGAAACTGTTGAGCGTGAAAAACCCACCAGCATTGCAGTTCTTGACACAAACCGGTGCGCCTGGCACCTACTACCTGTCACGCCCTGGCCGTGAGAGGCCTGTTGTCTTTAGTTGGTTTGGTCAGGGCGTGAGTTTCTATGTTATATATTCTATGTTTATGATCTAGTTAGTCTATTTCTATGTTGCAGTGCTAGGTTTGGCCGGGTGTGATTCCCAATCAGAGACAGCTGTCGCTCGTTCTCTCTGATTGGGGATCATACTTAAGTAGCCCATTGCCTACTGTGTATTGTGGGATCTTGTTCCTGTATAGGCTTGTATGTGTATAGCCGAAGGACTTCACGTTACGTTGTTTCTTGTTTTGTTTGTTTATTTGGGTGAATAAACATGTACGCATACCACGCTGCACCTTGGTCTGACCCGTCTCTCAACGATCGTGACACTACCATACCCCGTTCAAAGGCACTAGAATTTCTTGTCTTGCACACATACACAATCCATGTCTCAATTGTCTCAAGGCTTAGAAATTATTATTTAACCTGTCTCCTCCCCTTCATCTACACTGATTGAAGTGGATTTAACAAGTGACATCAATAAGGGATCATAACTTTCACCTGGACTCACCTGGTCAGTCTGTCATGGAAAGAGCAGGTGTTCTTATTGTTTTGTATACTCAGTGTATGTCAATCTGAGTGTGTTTATTATGTGTGTGTGTGTGTGTGGGGGGGGGGGGGGGGGGGGTAACAGGGTCTGTGTGTGTGTTCTCAGTGAGAAGTGAAAGGTCGGTGCTCACCCCACACTTGCTGAGAGCGATGTACCACCATCTCTCCCTCACCGAGCGGAAACTACGACCTCCCACACAACTCAGCACCTCCTCATCCCCCTCTCCTTCCACCTTAGAGACAGACAGCAGACAGAGAGAGTTAATATATTAATAGAGAAGACGCTCACACACTCAAAAACACATTGAATCAACACATCCTAACACATTTCTAAAGAGGAAGTTACACACACACACCTCTATCTCACATACACACACTCCTCACACCTCACAATAGCTAGCTCTTTTAGTTATAACTGAATAACTAAAAACAACCACAGTCCCATAGGCAAACATACAAGACAAGCCCACATATACAGTGCCTTCAGAAAGTGTTAATACCACTTCACTTATTCAACATCTTGTTGTGTTACAGCCTGAATTCAAAATGGTTTAAATATTAATTGTTTTACCCACCTACACACAATACCCCATAATGACAAAATGAAAACATGTTTTTAGACATTTTTGCAAATTTATTGAAAATGAAATACAGAAATATCTCATTTACATAAGTATTCACACTCCTGAGTCAATACTTTGTAGAAGCACCTTTCACGGCGATTACCACTTTGAGTCATCTTGGGTATGTCTGTATCTGCTTTGCACATATGGATTTTTTTTTTTCTTCACATTCTTCCTTACAGGTTTTCTAAACCGCTGTTAAGTTAGATGGGGAGCGGCGGTGAACAGCAATCTTCAAGTCTTTCCACAGATTTTCAATGGGATTCAAGTCTGGGCTTTGCCTGGGCCACTCAAGGACTTTCACATTCTTGTTCTGAAGCAATTCCAGAGTTACTTTGGCTGTACAGTATGCTTGGGGTCATTGTCCTGTTGGAACGTAAATCTTCGCCCCAGTTGAAGGTCATTTGCACTCTGAAGCAGGTTCTCATCAAGGATTTGCCTTTATTTGGCTCCATTCATTGTTCCCTCTATCCTTACCAGGCTCCCAGTCCCTGACACTGAAAAGCATCCCCATAGCATGATTCTGACACCACCATGCTTCACAGAAGGGATGGTGTTAGATGGGTGATGAGCTGTGCCTGGTTTTCTCCAGACATAGCACTTTGCATTCAGGCAATTTTTGTCTCAGACTTTTTGTCTCATAGAATCTTTTGCCTTATGATCTCAGTCTTTCACGTGCCTTTTTGTAAACTAAAGGCATGCTGTCATGTGCCTTTTTCTCAGGAGTGGCTTCCGTCTGGCCACTCTCCCATAAACCCAGATTGGTGAAGTGCTGTAGAGCCTTCAAAGTAAACTCTGGACCTCAAAGCCAGTTCCACTGCGTTTTTTCCTTGTTGCCCTTTAATCAGAGACTGATTTAGACCTAGGACACCAGGTGGGTGAAATTAATTATCAGGTAGAACTGAAAACCAGCAGGCTCCAGACCTCGTAGGGAAAGAGTTGAATACCCCTGCTGTAGAGACTGTTGTCTTTCTGGCAGGGTTCTCCCATCTCAGCCAAGGAACTCTGTAGTTCTGTCAGAGTGGTCAGTGGGTTCTTGATCACCTCCCTGACCAAGGTCCTTCTTGCCCAGTTTGGTCGGACGGCCAGCTCTAGGCAGAGTCTGGGTAGTTCCATATTTTTCCCATTTCCCAATGATGGAGAACACTGTGCTATTGGAATCTTTCAACACTCTAGACATTGCTGTATACCCTTCCCCAGATATATGCCTCATCACAATTCTATCTCGGCGCTCCACGGACAGTTCCTTGGACTTCATGGTATAGTTTCTGCTCTGACATGCACAATCGACTGTGGCGTGTTTCTTTCTAAATCATGTCCAAAAATGTAATTGGCCAGAGGTGAATTCCAATCAAGTTGTAGTGACATCTCAAGGATGATCAAAGGAAATTGAATGCACCTGAGCTCAAATTGGAGTATCATAGCAAAGGGGTGTGATATTTCTGTGTTAAGTTTTTAATAAATGTGCAAAAATGTCTAAAAACATGTTTTCACTTTGTGATTATGGGGTATTGTGTGTAAGTATGAAAATGTATGCACTCACTAACTGTAAGTCGCTCTGGATAAGAGCGTCTGCTAAATGACTAAAATGTAAAATGTAAATGGGTGAGATTTTTATTTATTTAATCAATTTAATTTTGAATTCAGGCTGTAACAACAAAATGTGGAATAAGTCAAGGGGTATGAAAACTTTCTGAAGGCATTCTATAAGACAGAGAGCTGTAGAGGAGATTGTCCATGTTCTTACCACACAGCCAGACCAGGTGTAGCGCGTGGTCAGGTTGATGACCTGGTTATTCTCTGGCCTCAACACCTCCTCCTTCTGGTAGCAGTCCTGTGGTCATGAAATACGGTCAAGAATAAGAAAGAAACGGTGTCATACACACATCACATTATGCACAGGTACTGGACAAACTAACCATAGAAACAGAATGAATAGAAAGGGCATCTTTATTCAAGTCAATGATGGCATAATCAGTGTACTGGCAGCCATTTTGAGTGCACCCATAGTCCCAATCAGTATTAGATTGCAGTAGAGATTTACACGGGAACAGGACTCCTGTGGGTCTTGTGGGTCCCGCGGGATTCCGACAGAAATCGAAGTGATGTTCTAGAGTGAAGTTCGGGACAGGACGCGACAGTGACAGTCCACAGGAACGGGCAGTACAGGGATAGTAATAACCATTACAAAAAATATATGTAATGTGTGGAGCAAACTATGTGTAGGCCTAATATAGTTTACTTAATAAAAAAATCATACAAAATAATGCCTTCATTGCCAAAATCTCATAATGTGATTGTTATCTTGTGTGTGCACTGCAGACAACTGTCATGAGTTCTGAGCAGCAGCCAAATGGAGCAGTTGCTATGGCTACTCACACACAGAGCGTGGGACAGACAGACGAGCAGCTAACGGAGGAAGTTACTTCAGATTTCTGCATATCATTTTTTTTTGCATGGAACGGGACGGGAGTGATTTTTATCGAGACCGGACAGGAATGTTCCGGGGGTTATAGAACTGTTGCAGGATCAGGACTAGGGCCGGGACGATACCAGTATCACAATATTTTTTCCATGGCAAAAATGAAAACCTGCTGTATATAAAATATTGTGTGCTATAGCTTGGAAAATAAATAAATGTAACTCTGGATGACAACATAATTATGTTTGTTTCCAACATTAGGGCTGTTTTCCTAAAGAAGTTAAATGTTTCCTTGCCACGATCCTAACAAAATACTGGTATTGTCCCGGACGTAATCAGGACAGTACGGGAAAACATTTTACAGGACAAGACAGGAGAGTAATGAATTTTCACTCCTGTGTCGCGGCCCTGCCCGCCTGTGGGGAAAACAACCTGTGATTACCTAGGTTGCCCCATTGGCTAACAGCAAAAACTTCACCTTTTTCAAACACAATTTTCTTGTTGTCTGCTTGTTTATGTCAATTACTAAACGACACAAAGCCTGAAGCCACAGGGCTCTTCTCAAAGGCTCTATTTCTCTACATGGGAGCATTGCGAAACTTAGGTTGGGATTTATGACCTGGTTGCATGTACATTGAACAACACAGCAGCTTTTCGGAATGTTTTGTTATTTGTTCGACCACGAAGTTGGCTCTTTTACAATGGGGGTCAATGGGAAAGAATGTTTGTTTCCCCCAATTTGTGGCCATGGTCGAGGGGAATTCCTTCATATGACGTGAATATCTGAATATCGACTCGGAGTATGCCAGGAAGTAAAAGCAATAAGTGTACCCTTCAATCTGTGCTGTGATTTGTTGAGTCAACTCAACTGACATTACAAAAAAGACATTCCATTGCATGAGCCACATCAGTTAGCATCATTTGAATAAACATTCTACATTATGATGGCAATCCAGCATAGATGAGGTAAAGGAGTCAATGGAGCGCTGACGTTCCATTGACCAGATTGGCGCACATTCAACAAATCTGATCTAACAAAGTGGATATTCATCAAATCCTGATTTATGCATTGTAACAGGCCCACATATACACACACACACACACACCAAGCGTGACACAGAGTAGTGGTTTCTCACCTTGTCCGGCTTCTTGTACACAGCTGGCCACTGAGAGCTGTCATCAAAGTAGAGCAATATATTCTGACAGCATCGCGACTAGAGAGGAGAGAGAGAATGAGAGAATGGAGGAGGGAAGGAAGGGGAAAAGAGGAGGGAGGAAAGGGGAGAGGGAAAGGGGGCCTAAGATTAATACCAGACTGCCTCAAAGTCTGCAGGCCACTAACAGCAACCAGAGGAACACAGAAAGGATGACCGAAATGAAAAGAGAAGAGAAGAGAAGAGAAGAGAAGAGAAGAGAAGAGAAGAGAAGAGAAGAGAAGAGAAGAGAAGAGAAGAGAAGAGAAGAGAAGAGAAGAAGAGAAGAGAAGAGAAGAGAAGAGAAGAGAAGAAGAGAAGAGAAGAGAAGAGAAGAGAAGAGAAGAGAAGAGAAGAGAAGAGAAGAGAAGAGAAGAGAAGAGAAGAGAAGAGGAGAGGAGGAGGGAGAGGAGAGGAGAGGATAGGAGAGGATAAATGTATGGAGAATATAACAGGAATAGACAGAGGTAGACTACCAAAGACAGAAAGAGTGATGAAGTCAATTTAGAGGAGAGAGAGAAAACGAATCAGTGGGGAGAGAGACAAGAGAGACATGGACATACAGGAAAGATGATGAAGGATGACTTGTAAAACATAAAGTTTGTCAGACAGAAAATAAGAAAATAATAGGGTACATGGGGACAATATATGAGAGAGAGAGAAGAGAGAGAGGAGAGAGAGAGAAGAGAGGAGAGAGGAGGAGAGAGGATAGAGAGAGAAGAGAGGAGAGAGAGGAGAGAGGAGAGAGGAGGAGAGAGAGAGAGAGAGAGAGAGAGAGAGAGAGAGGAGAGAGGATAGAGAGAAAAAAACAGGAGAGCAACTCACTAAGAGGGAGAGAGACAACAATACTGATGGAAAAAAAGAAGAAAAGAGAAGGATGGCTAGAGGTCAGTTGTACTATAACCTGACCTTTTGGTAGCGGAACCGGAAGTCCAGACGTCCAAAATCAGTGAGAAAACAGAAGCGAGTGAGGAACAACCAGTCCTGTTTAGAGTGGGGAACAGGAGAGAGGGGGAGGAGGAGGGAGAGAGGGGCATGGGGTAGAGGATGGGGAGAGGAGAGGGGGAGATGAAGGTGAGATGGGGAAGAGAGCAGGAAAACCTGGCTTTAATATTCAACCAGCATCATGCCAAGATATAGTGCTGATGGTATACAGTGCTTCACTGTCCTTCCATAAGGCACTGCAGCAGGGTATCAGTCAATGGGCTGTGCTGCAGATGTAGGCTGACAGACACATACACATGCTGTATAGAACTGATCCTGGTCCTCTGGTCCTCTGTAGCTCAGCTGGTAGAGCACGGCGCTTGTAACGCCAAGGTAGTGGGTTTGATCCCCGGGACCACCCATACACAAAAATTTATGCACGCATGACTGTAAGTCGCTTTGGATAAAAGCGTCTGCTAAATGGCATATTATTATTATTATTATTATTATATATCATTAAACAACACAGAAAAGTTTGAACTTACAGCTGCACTATATCTCACAGATAGCGAGCAAATCCGCAGCAATATGTCAGAGAGCAAGCCATCTGTAGTTAACAGTTAACACACTCAGCCATATATCAAGAGGCCTAACTTCCAGACCTGCTGAAGCATACAGTACTACATACTGCACTGTATTGTCCTAGATTGTATTGGCCTGGGCTAAAGGTGTATCCATGACTATGGAGCAGTCACAGAGGAGGAGAGGTGGTGGGGCTGGGGGCTGGGCCTGGGGTATATCATATGACTGCCCAAGGACTGTGAAAGACCCCCTTGTTAGGCTCAGACACACACACACACACCAGACCTCCATTCCCCCATTATTGTCATAGCAACCGCCACATGCTGCCTGAGTTTGCAGCTGCCATAGAAACCATGAAAGTCACTGCACTCACTCAGAAATACACACACTCCTTTCTACTTCGTTCTCTCTTTTGCACGCACACACACACACACAACCCCTTAAATTAATCTGTGTTTCTGTGTTGCACAGACAAATTAATCTAATTTTAGACCCTCCCTTAACGTCTTTCCATTTGTACTGACCATCTCTCTCTTTCCCCCTCCCTAGCTGTCTTTCTGTCCCCCTCCCTAACTCTCCTTCTGTATCTACCACCTCTTCCTCTATCTGGTTGGGCTGAGTTGGAGTTTGGGGCCTGATGCTCGCAGTTGCTGAGCACTTCCGGCCATGCAGTCCTGTCTGACCCTGGTCTTACCCAGTACAGAAATAGAGCCTAGTCTAACAACAGTGTATCTGAGTCCTGTCTTACCCAATAAGGTAGAAATGGTCATCAAAATGGTTAAAATTATAACACATAATGAATTGAGTTCCGGGATGTGGGAATTCAGCTATTCAATTTATTGTACAATTTCTTTTAGAAGAATGTACTCATATATATATTGTCATGACTCTCCCTGTGTGAGGATCAAAGGCCTCCCATCAGCTTGGCAAATGGCCGATAACAACCCCTCTTACCCACAGGGGGCTGTGCCGGTCTTGACACCATAAATTAGAGAGGAGGAGAATCTCTCTCTGGCATTCTAGTATGGTGAAAGGATTGCCTTTGTTTCAGAGACTTTTTGCCGCCCAAATACTTCAACATCCAACAATGAACATTGGCACAATATATTTCAACATCCAAATGTTGGGAATGATGAGAAATGGAATATGGAAAATTAATGTATTTTTTGTGATGTCATTACAAATGGTATAAAGGCATTATAACGAAAACATTGTGACTTGAAGAGCTTTTAAACTGTGTATATCAGGTTTACATACTTTACGTTGTGTAGAAAATATCAAGGAGGAAGACAATGTTTTCGTGAAGATAGGAATGTGATTTTAGCTTTCTAACAAAATCATAGTGATGATAATACTTTTGCCTCGTAACTAGCCATGCCCGAGGGAGCTCAGAGAGCGTGTCAGTATGACGGAAACGCCCCTCTTTACCAGAGTGCATAAAAGATTGAGATAAGAATTATCAGATCAGCCTAGACGGACCTCAAGCTGCAGCTTTTGTCCATATTGGTCCCGACCCTGAAAATCAACACGAAGTGAAGACGACAAAGTTGCCTCCACTAACATTCAATGTTACGGCTGAGTAGCTGTTCTAAGTACTGTATCTAAGAAGGTACATTTAAGTGGGACCATCCTGTTACCTTCTTCAAGCCATCGTCTACTACACTGTTCTCATCACCCCACAGGGGATCATCGACACGGCTGATTAGCCGTCCTCAGAAGACCACTTCCAGAACGAGTGAAAGTAAACAGACAACTAAGAAGAAGGACATTGTGACCTCTTGTGGACAATCTGAGCCTTACATCTAAAATGCCATCCGAAAGAGAAGGCACAATCGACCCCTTCCCACGAAGGCCTGGGTCCAACAGAGATACACGACGAAGACCTCCAACACGTAAATACATGTATTACTTTTCTTCCCAAACGGGCGGCAGTTCAGGGCAAAGTATTAGGATTACTGTGAGCGTAGGTCCATGTGTATCCAAGTGTTTTCTCTCTCTCTCTCTTTAACTCGCCATCTTTTGTAACAAGTGTCATATTGTGTTAGTCCGCTAGGGACCTGTTTTCATTGTATTACGTTTCTAATCCCTATCTATACCGTGTACGTGTTTGTATCTTGTGTTACCATTTTTAATTAGTTAGTAAATAAATAATTAAATAAATGTGTGTGGTACGTAATGATCAGTAAGACCCGGCTTCGTGCAGACTTAAAGAGTCTACAACTTTCAGAATGAGACTGATATGAGGTAAATGATTAATAAATGACTGTTAAACGATAAGAGATATCTAAATATCTTTAGAGTTAATTCGGGAAACGGTAACTCGTTAAACAACTTTTCCCACGGTGCCCCAAATTCCTATTGAGTTAATTGTAAAATGATTAATTTAATAAATAATAGTCATCACAATAATGAGAGTCACGTCATGACAACATGTTCTTATTGTATCAGGTATTTTTTTTATATATATTTTGTGTTCAAATGAAGACAATTATATGTGCCTCATTTGCATAAATACACCATGTATATTTGCATATATGATTAAATTAACATAAAGGGGCAGGGCTGCAACAACCAAACACTTGCTCTGTCTACCCTACCTGCACTCACCTGCGCTCTCTAGACAGACTCATGAATTACTGTTGTTGTCACATTGCTTAATTTAAAAACAATGCTAATAGCAGGATACCCTCGGATTCAAAAGTCCAACACAAGGTGTAAAACAAAATGCGCCCCCCTCCCCAACGTTACAAATATTTTCACGACCCTTCCCTTGTTAAATAAATTGCACACCCTCCCCCCTCATAGAATTAACTACAAATAATGTTTACCACCACAAATAACAATAACTGTAGCGACCCTGTGTTTATAAACGTGGATAACGACCTTGCCACCTCAGCATTCTTTTGTGGCAGAGTCGATGCCAGGCAGGGCTACGGGCCAGAAGGTTGAGGGTTCGCTGACGACCACAGACGAGCTCACTCTCCCTGCCTGTTTCATTACACTACGATCAGAGTTGGCTGCAGACAATGATCAGCTAGGGGGGAATCAGATTTTCAACATTTTAATGCCATACTTATAATAATTTAAAATATATGCAATTCATTTTCCACCAACAGGTTTCTGTGCCAATGCACCACAAAACCAATAAACAAAGCATACCGACTTCGGACACTTCAATATCATGGTTTGCGTTTTCAACACCACAATAAATTGATTATGTCAACAAACAGAAAATACATCCCACCTTACCTTGTAGGCTTACCAAGTATCGAAGGCTTGGCTTGACAATCTCCGAATGTCATAAAAACGTTTTGGTGTTTTGTAACAGATGTCTCTTGATTGGATTGATTGATTTCATTTGTCAGTAAAAATATATATATATACAGTGGGGAGAACAAGTATTTGATACACTGCCGATTTTGCAGGTTTTCCTACTTACAAAGCATGTAGAGGTCTGTATTATATGATTTTTAAGTAATTAATTTGCATTTTATTTTGCAATAAGCTGCTTGCCTATTGTCCTGTAGCCCATCCCAGCCTTGTGCAGGTCTACAATTGTATCCCTGATGTCCTTACACAGCTCTCTGGTCTTGGCCATTGTGGAGAGATTGGAGTCTGTTTGATTGAGTGTGTGGACAGGTGTCTTTTATACAGGTAACGAGTTCAAACAGGTGCAGTTAATACAGGTAATGAGTGGAGAACAGGAGGGCTTCTTAAAGAAAAACTAACAGGTCTGTGAGAGCCGGAATTCTTACTGGTTGGTAGGTGATCAAATACTTATGTCATGCAATAAAATGCAAATTAATTACTTAAAAATCATATAATGTGATTTTCTGGATTTTTGTTTTAGATTCTGTCTCTCACAGTTGAAGTGTACCTATGATAAAAATTACAGACCTCTACATGCTTTGTAAGTAGGAAAACCTGCAAAATCGGCAGTGTATCAAATACTTGTTCTCCCCACTGTATATATATATATATATATATATATATATACATATATATATACACAGTACCCACGTCAATTCAACGTCTATACCATGTTGGTTCAACGTCATAAAAGTGACCGGGATTGCACGATAAAGTCGGGGACTTACTTCCATTGTGGTCCCTATTTTTTTACATAAATACATACACAATTACATAGACACATTACAGAGATACAGACACACAAATGCTTGACCTCCATATGAGTATGAGGGGGAGTTTAAGTACAATTCTTACATGCTTGTTTTGGCTGGTCTGTAGTATATTTTTTACATTCTTGTGGCTGCTGGTGAACCATGCCTTTCCCATGATGTCATGACATTTTTTATCTGTGTCACGTTCGTTCAATGACGGGTCAGACCAAGGCGCAGCGTGATATGCGTACATGTTTATTAACTTATAAACACAATGACAAAACAACAACCGAAACGTGACGTCCAAGGTAGAACACACAACATACCTTACACGGAACAAGATCCCACAACTCAACAGTGCCAATGGGCTGCCTAAGTATGATCCCCAATCAGAGACAACGAGCGACAGCTGCCTCTGATTGGGAACCACACCGGCCAACATAGATCTACACATACTAGCATGCCAACATAGAAAATACTACATAACAAAGAATATACACACCCTGACTCAACATATACGAGTCCCCTGAGTCAGGGCGTGACAATCTGACACGCATAAAAAAAGTTGGATGGAAACCTGATTAATGTCAAGCCATTTTGAGGATGCTGGAATTATATTTTAGATGAATGTGCACATGCCTACAGGAGACTTCTGAAGTAGCCTAATCAGATTAAACATTGTGACTGGTTGTGTTTATGCCACATATAAAAAGGTAACACCTTATAAAGTTAAATTACAAATATTTAGGTTGTATTGAAGTGTTAGGTTCTAGGTGAGCGAGGCATAGCCGCACAGATTGGAGAGGAGGCAGAGCACGCGTTAAGCTTTCCTGAATAACTGGGCCTGCCTAAAGCATATGTTTCGGTTAGCTGGTAATTGCTGGCTTTTGGCCCAAAACATTTATTAAAAGCCGATAAATACAATTGTAGCCGGCCAAATTATCTGGGGCTGCATATCGTACATCCTAATTTCAGCTTCAGCACCATTCTCTAACTCCTTGCCCGCTGCCTTACGTGCATGCTGCTGAAGAGAGAGAGAGAGGAGCCTTGGGCTACTGACTTTTGATTGCGAAGATGGAGTCCCTTTTCATTGAAGTAAAACGAAAGATAGAGAGTATGCCTATAGCGAAAAGCCTACAAGGAGTGGACAAAGATGGGAAGAGCGTTGGCACGGCCAAATGCAGGCTACTGTGCAACTCCCTATTCAGGTAGGATGCCATTTTGGAACTTTGTTTATTTATTTTTTCGTATTTATAATCATTTGTTTTATCATTATTATTTCTGTATACCATTACTATTGTAGGCATATTTATTAACCTAAACCAGTTCTTTAAATAGGCAAGAAGTGTTTTGTTTCATTCTGTTGAGACATTGTCGTTGGCTAAATTAAGTTTGATCTGTCTTTAAATGTGTGCTCCTTTATTAGTTTAAGATAGGTTATAAGTAGGCCTGTTGTAAAATAAATATCATAAGCCTATTGCTGTCATTTGTTGGGGACGGTAGGCACTAGCCTTTCTTGGTAATTGCTGCAAAGCAGCCTGTTAACATTTGTGAAGGTTTAAACCATTTCGTAAGTGTTTTGTTTCATTCTGAGCCCTTTTCTTTGTTTGCCACAATATAATATCCTGCTCGTATTTTCCCTATAAAAATTGGCTTGACTTATTTTCGATATTACCCTAATAAAGTTTAGAAACTTGTGTGAAGGTTTGGTGTGGCTATTAGCCTATTATACTGCAGGCCTATGATATTAAGGGATTGCGCACCGGCACTCCAACTGACTCCGACAGTTGAACTTGAGGTGAGGAAGAATGTTTTAGGCATACCAGAGTTACTCCTATAATCGTACAATATAATGATTATCTTTATTATTTAAAAAATATTTGGATAGAAAATTAACGAAGTAGCCTCCTTCTGTACGCCTATATCTCTATAGCAGATGCAGTAGGCTAGCCCATCTGACAAGGATAATGAAATGCATTCTGGTGTCATAGCATGCCACTGGCATATCGCTATCTCTCTCTCTCTCTCTCTCTCTCTCTCTCTGGGGCTAGGCCTAAGCTTCTCTTCCTTTATATATATATTTTTATATTAATATCATACATTGGATGCCTAAGCAGTGATGCCAACTTAGCAATTTTGTTGCTAGATTTAGCAACTTTTCAGACTACACTGGCAACTTTTTTTTCAAACAGCACCTAGCAACAGATTTAGCTACTTTAAAATGTTTATTTGGAACTTTTAGCAACTTTTGAAAAGTGACTCAAACACTAAAATGCACGCATTTTCCCTCTAAATGACACAAAAACTAATTTCTCTGTCACACACTCAGTCACAACACACGTGCCTGGCTGCAAAAGGGCATTGTGAGTGACGTCAGCAGCAGGCGCTCAGCTCGTGCACAGGCAGCAGCAGGCCAGCCAAGCAGCACAACAACCTGGAGAGAGCTGGACAGAGATGCTTAGCGCACACATCATTATTTGAGTTAAGTTGCTTGTTCAATAAGATAGCATATATACCTTGTTATTAGCTTGTACCTATAATTGTTGATCAGTTAGGTAGCATGTTAACTAACTACCAATACACTGCTTAAAACTATAATTGTTCAGAATGTGTAGGTTTACTAGTTAATAAGAAAATAAATAAAATGTAATTGTTCAATAATGTATAATGTGTAATTGTTCAATAATTCAATGTGTTGTGTTTAAAAATAAAAATATCTGATCATATAAAATGTGTTGTGTTTATATTACTTTTACAAATAAAAATCTGATAATAAACAAACTAATCTAAACTAACAAATGTCAAATCATATTTGTCGCGGAGATGGCCAGTCAATTTGAGTAACGTTATTGTGTATTCTACGTCGTTATTACGTAATGACGTCATCACGCAATGACATCACAACGTCATTTAGCACCTTTTAGCAACAAATCGACCTGCCTCTAGCAACTTCACCTGAAAATTAGTTGGCAACACTGCGCCTAAGCCTGTAGGCCTATGCATGCAATGCCCTGATGCATTTAGTGCTCAAATCTCCGACAGCTGAACCGTGAGGTTTTAGGAAAGTAAAAACCAATAAAACAATAGGCTATAAAGCTTTGTAATGCTACACATCTAAACACAATGATTTTTATTTATTTAAATGTGTTATAGGCTATTTTGAAGGACATGTAAATGTGGCTCATTTGACCAATATCCCATGTTTATTGATGGCGCTGGTTGCGTGGGTGACGCCCTAATGGGTTAAGCACCCAATGCAAATGTCCAATAAATTACAATCTGGTCGATCTCCAAGGCATTCTTAGTCGATCACCAAACATTTCTGTAAAAAACCCAACGATAAGTCTTGCGTTCCTATTTTTTTAATTGGTCTCGCTCTGTTGAAGGTAGGTGCACCCAATTCAGCTGCCCTGCGCACCGGGTAGGTGAAGTGTTCACATTTTGAAATCAAATTACATTTTATTTGTCACATGTGCCGAATACAACAGGTGTAGACCTTACCACGAAATGCTTACTTACAAGCCCTTAACCAACAATGCAGTTAAAGAAATAGAGTTAAGAAAATATTTCCTAAATAAACTAAAGTAAAAAATAAAATAAAAAGTAACACAATAAAATAACGAGGCTATATACAGGGGTACCGGTACCGAGTCAATGTGTGGGGTTACAGGTTAGTCGGGGTAATTTGTACATGTAGGTAGTGTGGGGATCTAGATGTGATGCCTAGCTTAGAAAGAATGCATTAATGATTAAACATAATAGGTTTGTACTGTACTGATATAAATTGTTTCACATAACAAGCTGTGATTCATGTGAGGAATGTTAGGGAGTAGGGTGAGACAGACTTGTATTTCTCACAGACACATACACACTGCCTCTTTGTTAAACCGCACTCAAGGACGTGTACTGCAAAAAGGTGCTGACTCTACAAGTTGTGATGATAACAACTTATGCCTGGCAACAGTGTGCAACAGTGAAGCGCCAAGGGGCTGGGACCAGCCTGTGCGCCAACGATTGCCTGCGTAAGTCTAAACCACACTCAGTCTCTACTCTGATTGGCCAGCAGGGAGCGGGAACTATCTCTGTCAGAGTATTTGAAGAAGAACTTAGAACAATGGATCAGTTCTCTGTCTGCCCTGCGTGGTATTTCAGTGAGCCCGTATACGAACCATCATACTTATCATACATACATTTTGCATATAATAAATTTAGCTTGGATTGAATATCTCTTGATTATGTTTTCTCTTATTCCAATACCAGATTTGAATTACGCTATTTCTAACAGTAGGGGTAAAGTGACTATGCATCGATAATAAACAGCGAGGGGTCAATGTAAATAGTCCAGGTGGCCATTTGATTAATTGTTCAGCAGTCTTATGGCTTGGGGGTAGAAGCTGTTAAGGAGCCTTTTGGACCTAGACTTTGCGCTCCGGTACCGCTTGCCATGCGGTAGCAGAGAGAACAGTCTATGAACCATTTCATATGTCTGAAGGTACAAACTCTGCCTTCCCGTCTGGGCCCGGGGGGAGAAAATCAAGTGCACTAAAGGCCTACAACTGGCCAATCGGATGGCCTAGATTACTGTCTCTGCAGTAACGTAGCAGGCATAAAAGAAAGCGTGAGATTTCTAAACTTTGAAAACCATGACCAGAGAGAGACTGTCAACGAATACAGTAAAGAGCTGCTGTTTTTATGAGTGAGTTCATATATACATTTTTACTCAACACTGTCAACACTTTCTATTCAACACTTTTATAAGCCATAAAATGCGTGTTTTCCCTACTTCCACTCACACTACAATCAGCACTGCAGCTGCAATGAATGAGTAGGAAAGTGTATCGATAGGCTTGCGTTGTTATTATTAGTGACTTGGGTCTTCTTTCTTTGGTCATAGGAGTAACAACATGCATTTGTGCATGATGCAGAAATAATGCGGTGCGAATCGAGTTTCGCCATCAGCTGGAAGACGGTGTCCCTTTTGGGTCAGTGTCAGCTGAGGAAAGGGAGAGCGGAGAGATGTTGAGAGGCAGACCCTCAGTCTGCTGCCCTCACCCTCTGCTGAGACTGACCATCAGATGCAGGCACATTATTTAAAAAAGCACATTATTAAAATGTTTGCTCACTCAGCTGTGCCTCACAAGTAATAAAACAACGGATCTATTACCGGTGTGATCATATAGTCTTCCTCAAATGTTGAAATATAATTTTCAAAAATGGTCAGAGAAGAACAACAATGCATTCGCAGGGCAATTCAAGCAAAGCCAATATGCGGTGATAATGTTTTGGGCCTATAGCCTACTGTACAAACGTCATTACTACACTACTGTTTTTAATAGGTTAAATGTTGCATTGGCTTACGTTTTTTAAGTCATGTAAAAAAAAAAAATTGAACGGTAGATCTCAGCTTGCATTTTGACTCAGAAAGTGATCTTGACTCAAAAGGTTGGTGACCACTGCTATAGCCTATTACAGATCTGGACAAACGATTCACCAACCACTATTGTCACTATGAACGGTGGATAGAGGGCAGGATAGACAGACTGGTAGACTATATTGACCTGTGGTGGTATAGTAAAAGTTAACACAGGGAAAAGCGTAGTGCATAAGGGAAGTACCAAAACGCCTTGATATAGGGGAGGCCATGCAAGCAGATGAGGAAATGTGGCTAGGATAGAAGAAATTATAATGTAAAACCTGCAAAAGGGTGAATGTAAACCAGGGGGGAAACACACAACCCTCCCCAAAGCAAAAAAAACAACATTTTACAACCCTCTCCTATTTTGAACCCCACCCCCATAAAACATTTTTACACACATCTTTCTTGTGATGTTAGTGTCGAGATGGTGTGTTAAAACCCAGATGAAGCTTTAGCGTTCTTATAGAATCAACGGAAAGACAATGTAAGTCGCTCTGGATAAGAGCGTCTGCTAAATGACTTAAATGTAAATGTATTCCATTGAGCCCGTTTAAGCCATTACCTGGGTGCGTTTGACAGGTCATTACAAACATTTCCACGGTCGTAACGTTTTCGGTGCAAAAACGACAGGCACAAGCAAGAGCATGAAAGAGTCGCAGGAGTAAAATTAAAGCATTCACTGCAGCGAAATTTAAGTGACAAGTGGATTTTTCACCCCTCAAACACAGGAAATATATGGCTGAAAAAATATCCTCAGGTGGGCGGGGCATGCTCATTGCAACAGTAAGGAAATAGAGCCTAGTCTAACAGCAGTGTTTCTGAGCAGGCCAGTCCAGTCTAGCCCCAGTTCAATCTAGCCCCAGTCCATGCAGCTCAGTGTAAGCCTAGCCCAGATGGCACCTGTAGTCCGGCCCTAGGCCCAGTCGGTCTGAGTGGAGAGCAGTAGGAGAACAGAAGCAGTGGAACACAGTGGAACACAGTGGAACACAGTGGAACAGTGGATGGGGTGTCAACCTTAATCCCCCTTAGTCCTCTCATTACCCCACAGCCACTGCATTGTGATGCAGAGCCATTGAGCCAGTGTGTGTGTGTGTGTGTGTGTGTGTGTGTGTGAGTGAGTGAGTGAGGGAGAGAGAGTGTGTGTGCGTGTGTGAGTGAAAGAGGGTGTGAGTGTTTGTGTGTGTGTTAGACACCCCATTAATCAAGTGCTAGGCCTCGATGCAGTATCCGGTCACTACTACTCCCTCCCTCCCTCTCTCTCTGTCCCTATCCCGCCCTCTGTCTGTCCCCCCCCCCCCCCCCCCCTCCTCCCTCCCTCCTCTCTCTCTCTCTCTGCTAAGCCTCATTAACAATTAATTACCAATCAGCTAGTCAAGTCACCCCTGGACCTCTCAATGTATCATTAGTAAGGTTACACAACGGTGCAACACATACTCACAGCCACATGAAATCACAACCACACACAAACATAAATAAACTCACAAAAACCTAACCTATAATCCTCTCCACCATCACTGAACCTGATCATACCTTGCCTGCTGATTTGGGATTTTGTACTCTACTGTGACTTTGAGATCGAGGAGTGAGGCTGTGCGTGTGTGTGACCTTGGGTGGGAGTCAGCAGACAAGACTGATGTGTTTAACAGTCCCACTGGACAACACACACACTATATCAACATGTCCAGATGAGTGTTGTTTCAGTCCATTCAGAGCAGTGACATGGTGCTTGAGGGAAGACATAACCCTGGTTCAGACTAACACACACCATGTAAGAGAAGAAAGTACAGAGTATGTCTGGCATGAGCAGGAGATCTAATATGGATTGGGTTATTCATAAGCATTTCCGATATTATACAAACACTAGTGCATTTAGCTAGTTACATTTACATTTACATTTTTTAGCAGACGCTCTTATCCAGAGCGACTTACAAATTGGTGCATTCAACTTATGATAGCCAGTGGGACAACCACTGTTCTTCTTCTTTCTTTTTTTTTACAGGGGGGTGGGAGAGGGGGGGGGGGGGTAGAAGGATTACTTTATACTATTCCAGGTATTCCTTAAAGAGGTAGGGTTTCAAGTGTCTCCGGAAGGTGGTCAGTGACTCCGCTGTCCTGGCGTCGTGGGGGAGCTTGTTCCACCATTAGGCTGAGTTTGTCAACTTTCAATAGCTCTTGATTGGAAACCACATAATGATCTGATAAGTAGCCTAAGTGTTTCTATGATACAATTCTATTGTGTCAGGCAGGTGTTAGCCTACTTTATGAGGCATAAAGGTCATGGGCTAAACATCACACCTGATCATCAAACTGTTATGCAGAAGTGGGACACTAAAAGGAGCTGAGATGAGAAGAGTTATGTGAGAGCTCATTGCACGAGATAGTCTCGGCTGGCGCACATCTGTCTGGTGCACTTTACACTTGCCTGCCCTATAACATGGTCACTCACAGCCCAGCAGGGCATGGGAACAATATGATCATAACATCTAAACCCAGAATGAATCAATGGAAACACTGAGATAAAAATCAGATAATAGTATCGTTGATATTTATACCAGAGTGATATCAGAGAAGACTCTTTTTTTATATTGATAGGCTAGTGTTAAGTGTTGGACCACGGCTGATGTGAAATGAGGAGGACCAATAACAAACCAATATGCAACGTGAGCGACAACTGACGCACACCTGTAACCGGCGGGGTTACCGTTATTGTATGCGAAGGATGGATGTGAGTTATTTTGGTTACAGTGTAGGATATCACCAACGCTTGGCGCTATCACAAAGAAAAAAATGATAGATGGATTTGCAAGTCACATTCTCGTAAACATCCACAGCTTGTTTCTACCCGTCGGTGAGAGACACATTCTTTGTCAGAACGATGTAGATAGAAATAGAAATACGCTCGCTCTGACACGCATAGAGATGCGCACAAATACAAGGGAGTATGGACAGCCTGTAACATCTTGGAGAAATTGCTTGATTAGAATAAAAATGATCAGGCAATTTCGGAGCGCGTCACACTCGCAATATAATATAAACACGGAGAGGCTGTAGGCTACATGAGAAGGCGCTGCCGAGTCTAATAATGGTGTCATTGTAACAAGTGATACATTTTAGGTATGAAACACCTTACCTCCTTGGTATTGACGATACCTCTCACATATTTCCCCAGAACCGAGCCAACGCAGAGAACGCTGGACACCACGGCCAGGCACAAAAGTCTCTCGCAAATCTCCATCTTATCCCAGTCTTTCGCTACTCAGTGGTCGTCCGGGCCCCCCTTGCCAATCAACGGGAATGCAGGAAACGACAGTATCAGAGAGGGAAGCCTAGAAGACACTGGGCGCGCGTTCTCGTTCTTTTGCCGATGCATGTGGCCCCGATATTTGAGCTGTGAGCGCGCTTTGGATACGCGCCCCTACTCCTTTCCCACTCACTGGTAACAGAGGCAGAATGCGCGTTCTCGCTATAAGATTGCGACACATCCAAGACACATCAGTCATTCACAAATAAATTAATTTGTTACCTATTTGGTCAAACATTTTCAATGAATGGGGTTTTAACTCACATTATAGGCCTGTTGTTCACTCTTAGCCTAGGCCTATAGAATTGAACAAGACTGTAGTAGGCTACACCTAAAATCACTACACTAATTAGCCTATGTAAATCATCACACCAAGGAGATACATGATTTTCACGTTCAGATAAAAGTTGCATGTAAAGTTGAATAGCCCACAAATAACGAATAAGCCTTAGTCCAGACAGACACTGGCCACTAATGAATGCCTACTAATTAATTAGTTAATTATACAAAGACCATTGTTCAGTTATTTTACATTTTAGTCATTTAGCAGACGCTCTTATCCAGAACGACTTACATTTAGTGAGTGCATACATTTTTCATACTGCCCCGTAGGAAAATAAAAAAATTACTAAAGGATGCTGGTGTGTTACTGCATAGCTGTGTGTATGGTAACATTTGACCGGGTACTTGACCTAAAAAGCTTTTAGATAATATGTTGACATACTAATAGGCTTTTCACACTGCATTTTTCAGGTTAGCCTAGAGCTAAAGATGTCCCAGGGCTAAGAGATGCTGAATCCAGAGTAAATAGCCTATACATGAGGGAAATGGTTGAGGTCCGATGTATAATCAAAACACACAAAGCCACATTAAATGACTCCACACTACTTCAGCCATTTTGCATTTCAAGACCCAAATGATGCACATACTCCCCAAAAATCTTCCACACACACCTTTTTCAAAACCACTGGGAACTCAGAAATCTCATACTTTCGACTTCAGTGCGTTCAAAACAACTTGGAACTCAGGGAGAAAAAAAAAAACGAGCTCCAACTGGGAAAATTATTTGAACGTTCATCCAACTCGGAATCTCGGGCCTCTTTCTAGAGCACTGACTTTCCGACCTGAAGATCACTGACGTCATGATTTGACCTCCTAACTTTCCGAGCTCGAAGTTGTTTTGAACACAGGAAAACACACACACAAATGCTAATGCATGATGCAATCAATCATCTTGAGGCATAGAAACAGTGGTTGGCCCACATATGGAGGGGAGGCCATGTCCCAATGCTCTGAAATGGCTCCTTCCCTTTCCTGACAACCAATATGAGAGGACTAGGAAGGTGAAAACAAGATGGCGGTAACCTCACGAGACCAACTGATGGGCTAGCACCATGTCATGAATTTCTCCTGTCGGTTCCCTCCTACCAGATCAGGGGATACCAAGGATTGTTAGCCATTAAAAGAGTAGCCTATTTGCAGTGGTTCCCAAGGTTGTTGCACTGTGATCCATACAAATAATTTATTGTTTGTAGGGGGGGGTTAAATCCAGCCTCAGCAAAAAGCCCTCATCACCAGGCATAATTCTCAACAGATTTGCCAACCCGGGCCTGTGACCACCAGACAAGGACAGAACCAGAAGTGAGGTTGTATCTATATTTAGTTATAGGCTTGCTAGAGGACGACAACCCTCTATAACAAAGGGACATCTCCTTCACTCCAAGGTGAATCATTCATTCTCAACAAGCTAGACAATATTCTCAACAAGTATCATATATCAGATTCAGTCAAACCTAGTAGTAGCATCAGCCCTTGAGTATTTGCATGGGGTAAAGATGGTGTAGAACACACAGATTGTCAGTCAGCCACTGTAGAATGTCCTAAAGGTGCACAGAAAGACACATTAGCTAACTACAGAAGTCACCTGTTCAGTGAGTATGAGCTCACTATCAGGCTTGTTCTAGATTCTCCTGCTCGCTCGGTGCAGGCTGTTGGAGCGGAATGGATCCTCTGTGATTTGGACAGAGCTGCAGAAATGGGTCAGAAATGGGTCAGCAAGCAGGACGTCCCCTGGCTCAGGGGCTGTGGCAGTGTAACGCACTGCATCCTGGGATAGAGGGCTGCGTTTTTAGCAGTCAGTGCAGTGATGTACAGATATAGTATGAAGAGATGGGCAGTGCATCTGTCTGCTTCAGGCTCTCTTATTGAAGTTATTCACTGTGCAAATAGAGAAAGGACTTCCAGTCTTTTTAAAAACATTATCTGCTTCTAATGGCAGTCAGTCTATAGACAGCTGGTGATTGCTTTTAGATGGCAACGAACAACGGCTGAGCACAAGAGACTTAAAATCATAGACTTAATTACTGTGCGACAATAAAAATGATCAAATCAAAAAGTAGTGTGTGACTTGATGCTTTGCTCCCAACAGCGTACTTAAATTCAAGCACAATATCATCATGGCTCTACTGAGTCCTGTTGATTGCACTGATCAAAGAAAATGCAGCAATACTATTGCATTAGCTATTTATGATTGGCTATTTATAATACATCCGTATAATAGAAAGACCAGGATATAGAGATTATATTTGCCTCATAATATCAACCCTCAGCCACATCTCACTGTGACTGGACTATGAGGTGACTGGTTGATTGGGTAACAGCTAGCTGACCACTAGTCGCTACAGTGAGACAGTGGTAGAGGTTAACATTTGGCTACTTTCAACAACTAGGAATGAGCAGCGACAGAGTATGGCACGACACAGCTAAGAACATAACTTAGCATCCACCACACAATATGCTCTTAAAAGCCTTGAACAAACAGTTATAATTATGATCCAGGGTTAAAATAACAATAGAATATATAAACACTATAAATACAAATAACAAGGAATACTATGGCATAATAAGATCAATTATGGTTAACAATTTCTGTGGAATTTCTAGGTTTGTTGTTTTTAGCGCTTCAGCGTCCTATTGATGGGCCAATCAGCAGAGTAAGTGTCTTAACAACGGCAGTATTCACTGACAAACTAGTTTAATAGACCTCAGAGTTCTACAGTTATTAAGCTTGATTTAGAGTGGCTCCCTAAAGGACAAGTGGCCATTAAGTTGTTATGGTACTATGTAGGATCTCATTGCGTGTCTACCACTATCTGATTAGGGACTGGAATGGCCTTCTATGAGATGTATCGACCATTCACCACAACGCTCTGTGCTGTTTTATAATGTCCAGGCTCCAAACTCACAGTTCTACGCCGAGAACCCAAAAGGCTAAGTGGTTTAGTTTGTGTGTGTGTTGTCAACCAGTATGGGCAACATGTCGCTGTGCATGGTGAGAGTTTGAAAGCTGAAGAGGTTGCATTTAGTGCTTGCTATCCTTCACTCTACCTACGGGTGCTTCCTTCTGCATATCCTCCTCCTGCTGTCTTTCCTTCCCTCTCTTCTCTTCTCCTCTCCCAGGCTTTATTTGGCCCAAATCCCACCTTTTCTCTCTCTCTTTTAAATACTTTGACAAACAGCACTCTTCATTTAGCAAACCCCTAATTATGCCTTTATCCCATGACGTCTATGTTGTTCTGTGCTGCAATGCCGACTAACCCCTCCCCATCTGGTACTATAGCCCCTCCCCGGGCCACCAGAAGCTCCTCCTCCTGAATGGGTACTGCAAAGAGCTTCTCTGGGTCTCCCATGGTGACAGAGGAAGCACCGCGATTGGTCCTTTCCAGCTTGCGGTGCATGCGCGGCTCCTGGGGCGAGTCCTTCTGGTCAAAGACATCCCTGATTCGGTTGACGCAGACGTTAGCCGCTTCCCTGGTCTCCCTGGAGAGCTGTGATAGGCTGAGGAAGCCGTGCGGGAGGTCGTCCACCACACACAGGGTGACGGGCTGATCCACGTTCCTCAGGCGCTTGGCAAACATTACAGAGTCATCCAGCATGGGGTCTAACGCACAGGCCTAGGGGGAGGGAGAGATAAACAACAGAGTCAAAGAGGGTCTTATAAGATCATGTAAAGAATTCTAAATTGGTGGAAAAGACCAGAATAGGATTGGGACAAGCCAGTCCTCAACTCCATTTCCCTCTCTATTACCACTAGGTAGTCCTCCCTCTACCCTCCCTCTTTCCTCCCTCTCTCCCACCACCTCCCTCTCACCACTAGGTAGTCGTCCCTCTACCCTCCCTCTCTCCCACCACCTCCCTCTCACCACTAGGTGTATGGGGGGCAGTCCTCTCAGCATGCTGTCGGGTGCCAGTAGAGGAGACATGTAGGGGTTCCTGACGACAGGAGAGGTGGCCAGCTTCATCTCAGCCAGCCGCTCAGAGCGCAGCGGTTCGAAGCCCAGGGGGAACTCCCGAGGGTGCTCCAGCGCCACGCCCTCCTCCCCCTCAGGGGGCGGTATGGCAACAGAGGACAGAGCATCCGACATGGACACCACCTCCTCTTTGGAGAGGAAGAAGCTCACTTCGTCAGGCTGGAGGGGTACAGGAAAAATAGTTTATAGTTTACCATGGCAATACATAAGTTAACACTAGTCTAGGACCAGGACTGTGGAAACCTGATGTATTGGATACTGGATCATACTGATATGTCTTTCCTTTGGGACCAGACACTTGTTCTAAGAATCTACAAGCCTCAAGTAGATTTTTTCCATTTCAAATCACAGGAACAAACATTGACATGTTTCACTCTGACATCAAATGACAGTTCTTCATATTCTCCCTGTAGACAGAGGCATTAATACAGACTGGCTTTATAGAAAAACACAGGGATTATCCCTATACTGAAACACTAGAGGTTACACTCAGAGATCTGCATCCATCCCTCCCTCCCTCCGCCAGTTAAATCTGTGGAGGAGGAAACAAGACAAGCAGCTTGGTCACCATCTATTTGCATAAGTTATTCAGAGAGAGGCTTAGTTTAGACAAACACCTACAAATCAGTGACAAGTGTGTGAAGTGGTTGTAAAAGCAGTAAGCATGAAGCTGCTACACTGATCTGAAGTCAGTTTAACACCCTGCCCCCCCCCCCCAAATGGTTATGGTTAGGATTTGGGGAGGGTAATCTGATCCTAGATCTGTTGTTAAGGGCTACTCAGGGATTATCGTACCGTGCGCTCGGGGAACACCATTGCATTGTGGGCAGGAGTGGTGGGGGCAGCAGCGGGGGTGTTGTTGGCGTGGGCTGCCAGGTCCTGGCATGTGTGGCTCTTCAGAGACTCTCTCCTCAGGGAGAAGTCAGAGGGCTGCTCAGGGGGGTCCGAGTGGGGCGAGCTGATGGACGCCTCAGACACACTCTTCCTCACTGACGAAGATGTGTCTGAAGAAGAGAGAGAAGAGAAAGAGTCATCAACAAACCAAAATAAGACAGAGGCAGAGTGAGAGTGAGAGTGATCAGACTGAGGCCATTATGGAACAGGGAAACATCAATGAAGACGGTGATAAGAGGCGGGAGTGAGGGACGTGTGGTTATCAGGAGATGGATATTTAAAGCTAAAATCGTTAGTTACAACACTCATTTTTGGACTTATAAATTAATCATATACACACATTGATTGTTGAAGAATATAACTTAAGAATGCCACATGAGCTTAGTTCAACTGTCATATCCCATCAGAACCTCAAATATAATCTTATTTTACCCCAATGTTTGTAAACAATATAAATGTAAACTAACACTGTATAGCTTTAAAAACCACGGTTAAAACAACCATTTTGATCACATGGATGGTCAGTCCTGGCATCCATAGCCGTCTACAGTATGAACTTGAGTGGTTACATTGATCTAGGCCCATCCCTCAGCTTTTTACCAAAACAGAGGCGGGGTATCCTCTTTGTTATCGTTTCAACTGCAGATTCTAGCTTTAAGCAATAATGGTGTCATTACGATACGATCTCCCCATCAAAACACAGCTGTAAGCGGTGTCATGGCTTGTCTGATCTCAAAGCTGTACTCACTGAGCTCTTTTATTAATAATGAACTCCCCTCATCATAGCCTTTAATAATGTACACCCCCCAATGACACAGTCATTAATCTGGCCCACAGCTGCTGGGTGTCAGGTAACATGGTGACGCCTGGAATAGTCTGCTTACAGCAGGGTTTCAACACAATTAGTGGTCAGAGCCTAACCAGTCAATTGATATGGATGGGTGAGGGTGTGACGTAACAGGATGGTGGCCATGGGTGATTGACTGGTTAATTAGACGTTAACTGTGGATATCAATTTCAATAAAATGTCCATACTGTATGTACACACATAGCCCTTCCGGTAATAGGGAAATATTATTTCACCTCACACTCCAAGATGCGTGAACACAAGTACATACAGAGACACACACACCCTCTCACCACAAGACAAACACCCCAGACACACACACTGGTGTACCTACCTGTTGATGCCATGGCAACAGCTCTGTTGGGGTCCAGTATGGAGTGGATCCAGTTGGAAGCTCCCTGTTTGAAGTCTCTGAGCAGCAGGGCCGTGTCTCTCCTCACCATGCTCAGAGTACTCACCTTCTCCACCTGCTTCTCAGCCTGGGGCTCCTCACCTAGGGGAGAGAGGATGGGAAGGGAGGTAGGGAGGAAATGAGTTTCCCGTCCCTCACCAGCATTGAATGCCATGCACAAACAAGAACACACACTATGCTGAGGGGCAGCAAACCATCTCTGCTCCCTCTCACACACAGTCTTACCTGCGTAGGCGCTGAGGCACCTGGACAGCACACTGAGGGGCAGCAGGGGGTCGAAGAGGGTGAGCAGGCGGGAGGGCGAGGCGTAGGCGGTGAGCAGGATGGCAGGGTAGGCAGCTACGATGCCATCAGGCATCCGCACACCGTGAGACGCAGCGCGCATCGATGTTGTAATACACAGGTTACCACCAGCACTGTCACCGGCCAGACACACATTCTCCCCTGTCCAACCTGAGAGAGAGAGAGGAGGGGGGTCACAGAGTCAGTAGATTGAGGCGAGTGAGAGAAGGGGACAAAGTGAGAGAGAAAGAGAAAAGCTGACTAAGTGAGAGTCCGTATAACACTTTCAAGTGATCTGCATGTGATCTCCCACTCTCTGTACCCGTGTCTATATGGGGCAATGAGGGGCTGGTTGTTGATATGAAAGTGTTTTATATTTGAGACATAAGTTGAGACTATGGCCTTCAGTTGAGTGAGTTCCAAGCTAACCAGTCTTTAGCTTTCTGTCATAATAACAATCAATTAAGTACCAGGAAGTACCCATAGTAAATATTGAGATCATTGGGAATAAATCCCATCTGAAAAAGCAGGTCTGTCTATTTTTTTCCCCTCAGGGACATTAAAGATAATTATATTCTATGATAAAGTGGTAGTAGTGTGTTGTCCTACCCAGCAGGCGGTGGTTCTTGATGGCCCAGCAGTAGGGTTAGGGTTAGATAAAGTGGTAGTAGTGTGTTGTCCTACCCAGCAGGTGGTGGTTCTTGATGGCCCAGCAATAGGCATAGAAGCAGTCCTCCAGGGCCCTGGGGAAGGGAGCTTCAGGGGCCAGAGAGTAATCCACAGACAGGATGGGCACACCCAGGTCCTGAGACCAGCTCTTCAGATACGGCTGGAGAAAAGAGAGGGGGAGAATGGAGGAGAAAGGAGTGAGTTTACTATAGACGGTGCATCCCCCTACCATTAAATAGGCAGGGCAGGCAGTGGTGTTTGCAGTTCTGAATGCTCCTTAGTGTCCCCTAGACAGCTTTACAGGTGGTGGTGTTGGGAAGGATAGGAGAGAGGTCCTGTATCAGATTCCCAGCTTGCAGGTTCTGTATTGGTGAACTACAAACCCAACCGTACACTGCCTAACTACAGTGGCAGCTTGGTAATTCTGTTATGAAAATACCAGGTATGTGCACTGTGCTCACAAATGCAACATGACAACCTTGCTTTGCTCTCACTAAAACAGTGTTGTTGTTAGCCTCTTGTTGCTATGCAATTTGAAGTCATGGTAGCTAAGTGCTTAGGATTCTTAGAAACATACTTTCCAGATCAGACATCCTTAGAATACTTGCTTTTATATTATAACCTTGTAAGGTCATCAAGTACTTAGCTAGGTAAGTGAGAGGTCAGAGTGCGTACATCCGACAATAAATCTAATCTGACAATATTAGTCTACCCTCCTCTACAGAACTTTCTCTCCTGTCCTTCGATCGCTCCACCGCCGCTCCTCCTCTTCTCTCTAAGCATCAATGACAGTGTCAGTAGTGACAGCTCCGCCTCTCTAAACAATACACAGAGTGCCTCACCTCAGCGGCCCATGACTGGATGTGACCACATCACACAGCCAAACACCACCTCAACACCATCCCCGGGAATCTGCCCTGCACTCTTAAAGCCACGCTGTCATAATGGATCACAGTCTGGCACCGCTGACGTGTGGTGTGGCGTGTGTGTGCGTGTCAATTTAAATGATCGTCATTGTCAGTACATGATGCGTTTTGACACCCGTCAGCGCCGCTGGCCGGGTCTGCCAGTCACAAGGTTTGCCAGCGGCCCCAATAGAGAGATTAATGCCTACAGAACAACAGGCTGCGTCTAAACTGTCCTGAGGAGAGGCGTGTGTGGAAAATATGCCCACCACAGGGACACACACACCTATCCATAACCATGCAGATCATCTCCTACTGCCGGGGTTACTGGGAGTAGTGGTTCCACTCCTCTGCAGAGACAGGCACTGTGGTTAATCTGCTTCTGGGCACCTCTGTCACACACACACTTGAGTGATTAAGTTGTGGCCCATCCATTACTGGGGGTCTGGATCAATGGGGTGCTGAGAGGAGGGACACCACAGGCTTCTTCCCTCACACAAACAGCTCCCTCAGAGATTGAGAGAGAACGCGTGCAGGAGAGCTTCTGCCCTTAGACACTATCCATCTCCCTGAACACTTCAGGAGGAGAGGAGGAAGGAGGGGGAGTGAAGGTGGCAGGAGAGAGAGAAAAGTGAAGAATGGAGAGAAGAGAGGAGGGACACCACAGGCTCCTGCCCTCAGACTCCATCCATCTCCCCACTGGCCAGGGGAAAGAGTGGGTAAAGTGAAGGAGGAAGGAGAGAGAAAGGAACGTTGTGGGGAAAGGAAAGCAAAGAGCAGAGGTGGATTACAAAAATGAGAGACGAGGTCATTAGGACAAAGGAGAGTAGAGAACAAAGGGAATAATGATCAGAAAGGAGGAAAGCGTAAAGGACAGGGTTAGAGGAGAGAGAAGAGAGCCTAGAGCAGGGAGATCACACACAGACACACATCTTCCATTAGGGCCTATGGAATATAAAGCCATAATAACTTCATGTAGAGTTCTCAGCTAATTCAACATGACAGCCTTGTTCCTCCTCAGATCACTTCCTACAGCCTCTGGTTGCTAGGCTATTGGAGATGAAGGGACTGCCAGTCCACTCTGGTTTCATGGTGACGTGTCTCAGTGGTTTAAAGTAGCCTGCTGGTTATATAATACAGACGCCGGTCTCATCTGTCTGAGGCTGAGCTCTGAGCTGACCACTTCAAGAGGACAGGGGGAGAGGGGGAGAGAGAGAGGAGATGGAATGAGGAGGGAGAAGAGAGACTGACAGAATAGGAAGAGGGGGGCTGGCCTGCAACCAATCACTGGATAATAGAGTGATATAAATAAATGTGTCCATCAACCCTGTTGGATTAATTAAACAGTCATTAGTAGGAATGGCTCTTTACAGAGAAGCCATGGAGAGAAAACACAATAATTCCGAACCCATGAAGGTCAATTCCTCCTGAGAGAGAGAGAGAGAGAAGGTGGTGTTCTTACCTCGTGAGATTTGGAGGTCTGGGCCACAAAGCCTCCTCCGTGGTAGTGTACCAGGAGCCAGCGGGAAGGGGGGCTTCGCTTGGTCTTCATTCCCAGAGACAGGGAGATAGGACCCCCCTCAGAACGAGACAGGGACAGCAATGCTTCACTGTCCTACAGAGGGAGGGAGAGGGAGACCAAGACAGCCAGAGAATCACTATCACAAAGCTAGAAAAAGCCTATTTTCACTTCAATTGCTACAGATGTTGATTTGTCTGTGATCTTTCCAGCGCTCTGTAGAACAATCCCTTCAGTCAGGATTAGCTGTGTGGTTTGTTCTCTGCTTCTGGATGTCTTTCCAGCTCCACCACAAACACACTATCCTCATTCCCATTCATTAACATTAGCAGGGAACAGCAGAGAGGCTTTCGCTTGTGTTCTCCACATAAAAAAAACAGCAGCTCTTTGACTGAGCAGAATCAATGAGTGAGTTGAAAGTGTTGGCTGATATCATGTCTGGTTTAACGCCAGACTACAGATGCTCAGCTCTGCTGTTCAATACCATCCCAAATAAATAAATAAATATATGTGTGTGCGCGCAAGAGGATTTAAAGGGATTAAGAGCCAAGGATGAGACGAAAAGACGAGACACTGTCGTTTACTACAGCTGCTCTCAGACAAAGGAAACGCACACAAACAGAATCCCTTGATGTTAAAGAATTTCACGCAGGAAGAGGCTTCTCAACAGCTGATGAAAGCAGCAGCTTAAAGCCAATTAATTTGGGAAATATACACAGTCAGACTGCTGCTGTCAAAGGTTGTACAGCTTCAGCAGCACATTTTGATATACCAGTTAAAGGTTCTGCGTGTCTGTGTGAGATTTGAAAAGTTATCAGTGAACTTTGATCTAGAATCAGCACGAGATCAGCTGAAACTGGAATGCAACCAGTATGAGACCAGGGTTGTATTCACTAGGAACCAAAGAACGAAACGGGACCTACCTGAATTTGTCCAATACAACCTTGTTTATGTTGCAAAACGTTTTCCGTTTGGAGTAAACGTTGCAAAATGTTTTGGACTATGCGTCTAACCTTGATTTGCATTTTGATAACATATCTACAGTATTTCACTTTTTTATGTGTATAGTATTGCTTACTAGGTGTTGTCCAATCAATGAAATTGTATTTACAAAGCCCTTTTTTACATCAGCAGATGTCACAAAGTGCTATACAGAAACCCAGCCTAAAACCCCAAACAGCAAGCAATGCAGATGTAGAAGCACAGTGGCTAGGAAAAACTCCCTAGAAAGGCAGAAACCTAGGAAGAAACCTAGAGAGGAACCAGGCTCTGAGGGGTGGCCAGTCCCCTTCTGGCTGTGTCAGGTGAAGATTATAACAGTACATGGCCATTAAGGCCAGATTTTTCTCCAAGATGTTCAAACGTTCATAGATGACCAGCAGGGTCAAATAATAATCACAGTGGTTGTAGAGGTTGCAACAGGTCAGTACATCAGGAGTAAATGTCACTTGGCTTTTCATAGCTGGGCATTTAGAGGTTGAAATAGCAGGTGCGGTAGAGAGAGAGAGTTGAAAACAGCAGTTCTGGGACAAGGTAGCACGTCCGGTGAAGAGGTCCGGGTTCCATAGCCGCAGGCAGAAGAGTGGAACCTGGAGCAGCAGCACGACCAGGTGGACTGGGGACAGCAAGGAGTCATCAGGCCAGGTAGTCCTGAGGCATGGTCCTAGGGCTCAGGTCCTCCGGGATGGGAGGGAGACAGAGAATTAGATGGAGCATACTTACATTCACACAGGACACCGGATAAGACTGGAGAATAACACCAGATAACAGACTGACCCTAGCCCCCCGGCACATAGACTATTGCAGCATAGATACTGGAGGGAGACACTGTGGCCCCGTCCGACGATACCCCCAGACAGGGCCAACCAGGCAGGATATAACCCCACCCACTTTGCCAAAGCACAGCCCCCACACCACCAGAGGGATGTCAGACCACCAACCTATTACCCTGAGACAAGGCTGAGTATAGCCCACAAAGATCTCCTCCACTGCACAAGCCCGAGGGAGCAACAAACCGGACAGGAAGATCACATCAGTTACTCAACCCACTCAAGTGATGCACCCCTCCTAGGGACAGCATGGAAAGCACCAGTAAGCCAGTGACTCAGCCCCCGTAATAGGGTCAGAGACAGAGAATCCCAATGGAGAGACAGGAACCGGCCAGGCAGAGACAGCAAGGGCGGTTTGTCGCTCCAGTGCCTTTCCGTTCACCTTCGCACCCCTGGGCCAGACTACACTCAATCATATGACCTACTGAAGAGATGAGTCTTCAGTAAAGATTTAAAGGTTGAAACCGAGTCTGCGTCTCTCACATGGATAGGCAGAACATTCCATAAAAATTGAGCTCTATAGGAGAAAGCCCTGTCTCCAGCTGTTTGCTTAGAAATGCTTGGTACAATAAGGAGGCCTGCCTCTTGTGACCGTAGCGTACGGAAAGATAGGTAGGAGCAACCCCATGTAATCACATTTTTTGGTTCTAGTCAAGATTCTAGCAGCCGTGTTTAACACTAAGTGAAGTTTATTTAGTGCTTTATCCGGGTAGCCGGAGAGTAGAGCATTGCAGTATTCTAATCTAGAAGTGACAAAAGCATGGATTAGCTTTTCTGCATCATTTTTGGACAAAAAGCTTCTGATTTTTGCAATGTTACGAAGATGGAAAAAAAGCTGTCCTTGAAGTATTCTTGATATGTTCGTCAAAAGAGAGATCAGGGTTCAGAGTAACAACCATCAAGATTAATTGTCAGATCCAACAGAAGATCTCTGTTTCTTGGGACCTAGAACTAGCATCTCTGTTTTGTCCGAGTTTAAAAGTAAAACATTTGCCGCCATCCACTTCCTTATGTTTGAAACACATGCTTCCAGGGTAGGCAATTTTGGGGCTTCACCATGTTTCATCGAAATGTAGAGCTGTGTGTTGTCCGCATAGCAATGAAAGTTAACATTGTGTTTCCGAATTATATCCCCAAGAGGTAAAAAAGATAGTGAAAACAATAGTGGTCCTAAAACGGAACCTTGAGGAACACCGAAACTTACCATTGATTTGTCAGAGGACAAACCATCCACAGAGACGAACTGATATCTTTCCGACAGTTAAGATATAAACCAGGCAAGAACCGTGTACACCAATTAAGGTTTCCAATCTCTCCAAAAGAATGTGGTGATCGATGGTGTCAAAAGCAGCACTAAGGTCTAGGAGCACGAAGACAGATGCAGAGCCTTGGTCTGACGCCATTAAAAGGTCATTTAGCACCTTCACGAGTGCGGTGTCAGTGCTATGATGGGGTCCAAAACCAGACAAGCGTTTCATGTACATTTTGTGTCTTCAGGAAGGCAGTGAGTTGCTGCACAACAGCTTTTTCAAAAAATGATGGAGGGGAATGGGAGATTCAATATAGGCCGATAGTTTTTTACATTTTCTGGGTCAAGGTTTGGCTTTTTCAAGAGAGGCTTTATTACTGCCACTTTTAGTGAGTTTGGTACACATCCAGTGGATAGGGAGCCATTTATTATATTTAACATAGGAGGGCCAAGCACAGGAAGTAGCTCTTTCAGTAGTTTAGTTGGAATAGGGTCCAGTATGCAGCTTGAAGGTTTAGAGGCCATGACTATTTTCATGAATGTGTCAAGAGATATAGGGTTAAAAAGCTTGAGTGTCTCCATTGATCTTAGGTCCTGGCAGTTTTGTGCAGACTCAGGACAGCTGAGCTTTGGAGAAATACGCAGATTCAAAGAAGAGTCTGTAATTTGCTTTCTAATGATCATGATATTTTCATCTAAGAAGTCCATGAATTTATCACTGCTGAAGTGAAAGGCATCCTCTCTTGGGGTACGCTACTTTTTAGTTAGCTTTGCGACAGTATCAAATATTAATTTTGGATTGTTCTTATTCTCCTCAATTAGGTTGGAAAAATAGGATGATCGAGCAGCAGTGTGGGCTCTTCGATATTGCTCTGTACTTTCTTTCCAAGCTAGTAGGAAGACTTCCAGTTTGGTGGAGCACCATTTCCGTTCCAATTTTCAAGAGGCTTGCTTCAGGGCTCTGGTATTTTCTGTATACCAGGGAGCTAGTTTATTGTAACAAATATTTTTTAGGGTATCTAGGGTATTACGCAAGGTTAATTATAGATCCTCAGGTAGGTAGTTAACTGATTTTTGTACTCCTACATCCTTAAGTGGAGGGAGTCTGGAAGGGTTTCTAGGAATCTTTGGGTTGTCCGAGAATTTATAGCACAGCTTTTGATGGTCCTTGGTTGGGGTCTGAGCAGATTATTTGTTGCGATTGCAAACGTAATAAGATGGTGGTACGATAGTCCAGGGTTATGAGGAAAAACATTTACATCCACAATATTTATTCCACGGGACAAAACTAGATCCAGGGTATGACTGTGGCAATGAGTAGGAGACATGTTGGAGAAAACCCACTGAGTCGATGATGGCGCCGAAAGCCTTTTGAAGTGGGTCTGTGGACTTTTCCATGTGAATATTAAAGTCACCAAAAATTTGAATATTATCTGCCATGACTACAAGGTCCGATAGGAATTCAGGGAACTCAGTGAGGAACTCTGTATACGGCCCAGGAGGCCTGTAAACTGTATCTATAAAAAGTGATTGAGTAGGCTGCATAGACTTCATGACCAGAAGCTCAAAAGATGAATAGACGCAGTCATTTCTGGGGGGGGGGGGGGGGGTAAATTGACATTTGCTATCGTAACTGTTTAGCAACACTACTTTGCAGGATGCGCGGGGGATATGGTCACTAGTGTAACCAGGAGGAGAGGCCTCATTTAACACAGTAAATTCATTAAATTTTTTGTCATTTAGCAGACGGTCTTATCCAGAGCGACTTACAGGAGCGTGCCTTGCTCAAGGGCACATCGACAGATTTTTCACCTAGTCGGCTCGGGGATTAGAACCAGCGACCTTTCAGTTACTGGCACAACGCTCTTAACCACTAAGCTACCTGCCGCCATTAGTTTTTAACAAAGCAAATTTGAGGACTAGGCTGCCGAAGTTCTATCAACATATCGACTGTTGTATTCACGCTGCTAAAATCCTCGACCATTGCTATTCGAACTTCCGGGATGGTTATAAGGACC